AAAAAAACAAAAAACCCAAAATTAGTAAAAGGAAAGAAATCATAAAGATCAAAGCAGAAATAAATGAAAAAGAAATGAAAGAAACAATAGTAAAGATTATTCTTGATTCTTTACCATAGCATCCTCCAATCTACTACTCCTCTAGATTTTTCCAACTCAGAAAGTGGTACCCTCACTGCCCAGTTGCTCAAATCAGAAACGTGACTGTCATTCTTAAAACTGCTCTCTTCTTCTTTGAATCTGTTATCAGGTTACATATTTATTTTTTAAATATTCCCCTTCTCTAGGGGATCTTCCTGACCCAGGGGTCAAACCTGGGTCTCCTGCATTGCAGGTAGACTTTTTACTGTCTGAGCCACCAGGGAAACCCAATATTTCTGGAAGCCAACAACTACTTTTTGTCTTCACTACTTTAGTCTTGATCTATGCCACCATCTTCCTTACTTGGAAGACTATGATAGTCTCCCCAGATTCATTCATTCTTCCACTTCAATCCACGTAGCAAGTGATCATTGAAAAATACTTCTTGCCTTGTGCCACTGCCCTACTTAAAACACATCGATGGCCTCTGTTTGCCTCTTCATCTTCACCTGCACCTTCCTCCCTTCTTGGGACTTTCCTGGTAGTCCAGTGATTAAGACTGTGCTTCCAATGCAGGAGGCACAGGTTCCAATCCCTGGTCGGGGAATTAAGATCCCACATGCCGAGTGAAAGTGAAAGTTGCTCACTCGTGTCTGACTCTTTGGGACCCCTTGGAATTCTCTAGGACAGAATACCGGAGTGGGTAGCCTTTCCCTTCTCCAGGGGATCTAGAGGCACGACCAAAAAAAAAAAAGGTACCAAAAATAATTCCCAAATCTTTCTCCCTTCTCTAAGTACACTCTAGCCCTAATGACTGCTTTCCTCCTATGGGTTGAGGGTTTCCTATCCAAGATCCTTTACATATTTTATTCTCTCCACAATATTTCTCTTCTCCATCTCTCCCAACTGTTACTCATTTTTCAGTCTATTTTTAAATGTCAGATCCTCAGAAATGCAGCCTCTTAACTACAAAATCTGATTTAGGGCTCCTTTTTTATTCCCTTGCAAAATAGCCTCCAGTTATTTTTTTCTTTCAATTAGTTTCAATTTCAATATAAATAAATGCATTTATATTTATAGTCTGTCTTCCAACATAGTCATTTTGTTCACTTTTCTACCCAGCAACCAGAACAGTTTCTGACTTGTAGCAGACAGTATTTTTTGAATGAGAATGAATGAGCTTTGTTAACTGAAGAGATTTTTATAACTTTTTTTTGCTCTGTTCTAGCTAAGATACCATTTTGATTATGATTTTTCTTCCCACATAGCTTGATAACTAGGATAGAATGCACTGATCACTTGAGAGATATCTCTGAGTTTAAAAAGTGATCTTCACAACACCTTTTCAGGATAAATACACACACACAAACTATGAATAGAAGGAACTTGTCTCAACATAATGGAAGCTGTATACTAAAAACAGGGTTTCCCAGGTGGTGCTAGTGGTAAAGAACCCTCCTGCCAATGCAGGAGACTGAAGAGACAAGGGTTTGATCCCTGAGTCGGGAAGATGCTCTGGAGGAGAGCATGGCCAACCCACTCCAGTATTCTTGGCTGGAGAATCCCATGGAAGAGGAGCCTGGTGGGCTACGGTCCAAAGGGTAACAAAGAGTCTGAAGTGACTCAGCACACACAATGAACATCATCATGAAAACCTGAAAGCTTTTCCCTTAAGATCCAGAACCAGGTAGGGATGTTTGATTAGAATTAGGAAGTTCTGTTGTTGTTTATTCACCAAGTCATGTCCAACTCTTTTGCGACTCTATGAGCTCTAGCTCGCCAGGCTCCTCTGTCCATGGGATTTCCCAGCCAAGAATACTGGAGTGGGTTGCCATTTCCTACTCCAGGGGATCTTCCTGACCCAGGGATTTAACCTGCGTCTCCTGCATCTCCTGCACTACAGGTAAATTCTTTACCACTGAACCACCAGGAAAGCCCAGGAAGTTCTAGTCAGAGTAATTAGGCAAGAAAAAGACACAAAGGCATCCAAATTGGAAAGGAAAAAATAAAATTATCTGCAGATTGTTTGATATTCCATGTAGAAAACTCTAAAGATTTCATACACAGAAGAAAAAATCTATTATAATTAATAAATGCACTCAGCAAAGCAACAAAATATAAGATCAACACACAAGTCAGTTGTATTTCTATGGACCAACAATGAACAATCTGAAAAGGAAATTACAAAAATAATTCCATTTACAATAGTATAAAACAGATTTAGGAATGAACTTAACCAAGGAGGTGAAAGGCTTGTGCAATGAAAATTATTGCTGAAATATGTTGCTGAAAGAAATTAAAATAGATGGAAACACATCCCATGTTCATGAATTGGAAGGCTTAATTAAAAAGTCAATACTACCCAAACCAATCTACAGATTCAATCACTATCAAAATCCCTTTTACCTTTTTGCAGAAATAGAAGCAACTATCCTAAATTCATGTGGAATCTCACAGCATTCTGACTAACCGAAACTATCTCACAAAAGAACAACACTGGAGGATTCAACACTTTCTGATTTTAAGAACTTACTACAAAGCTACAGTAATAAAGTGTGATACCATATAAAACAGACATATAGACCAATGGAATAGAATAGAGAACCCAGAAATAAACCATTACATATATGGTGATATTGTTTTGGACAAGGGGTTCAAGACCACTCAATGGGGAAAGGACAGACTTTTCAATTAGTGGTGTTAGGAAAACTGGATATCCACATTCAGAAGAATGAAGCTGGATCCCATCTAACATTATATATAAACCTTAGCTCAAAATGAATCAAATACCTAAATGTAAGACCTAAAACAATAAAACTCTTGGGAGGAAAAAATGTAGGATAAAATGTTTACAACTTTGGATTTGGTAGGGATACCATCTTGGATATGATACCAAATGCACAGGTAACAAAGGAAAAAAACAGACACATTTGACTTCATGAAAACTGAAAATTTCTGTATATCAAAAGACTATCAATAAAGTAAAAAGGTAACCCATAGAAGAAAATTTTTGCAAATCTTATATTTGATCCAGGATTAAGACCCAGATTATACAGAAAACTCATAAAACTCAACAAGAGAGATCCAAACAACCCAATTTACAAAATGGGCAAAGGGCTTGAATAGACATTTTTCCACAGAAGATATACAAATGGCTCAGCAGTAAACAATCAACCTGCAAGGCAGGAGACACAGGTTTGATTCCTAGATCAAGAAGATCCCCTGGAGAAGGAAATGGCAACCCACTCCAGTATTCTTGCCCGGGAAATCCCATGGACCGAGGAGCCTGTTGGGCTATAGTCCATGAGGTCCCAAAAGAGTCAGACACGACTGAACACGCACACACTACACACACAACAATAAGCACGAGAAAAGATACTTAACATCACTAATCAGGAGAGAAATGCAAATCAAAACTAAAATGAGGTAACACCTCCCAACTATTAGTGGGAGTGGTAGTATGATGACTACCGAAAAACAGAAAAGTGTTGGCAAGAATGTGGAGAAATTGGAACCCTTGTGCAGCACTGGTGGGAAGGTAAAATGAATATTCACTGGAAGGACTGATGCTGAAGCACCAGTATTTGGTCATCTGATGTGAACAGACAACTCATTGGAAAAGTCCCTGATGCTGGGAAAGATTGAGGGTAGAAGGAGTAGAGGGCATCAGAGGATGAGATGGTTGGACAGCATCACTGATGCAATGAAGATGAACTTTGGCAAACTACGGGACGTGGTGAGGGACAGGGAGGCCTGGTGTGCTGCAGTCCATGGGGTTGCAAAGAGTTGGACGTGACTGGGTGGCTAAACAACAACAAAATGGTACAGCAGCAATGGAGAGTATGACAGGTCCTCAAAAAATTAAAAATATAATAACCATATGATTCAGCAAATCTACTTTTGGACTTATGACCAAAAGAATTGAAAGCAGGGTTTTGAAGAGATATATGTACACTCATGATCATAGCAGCATTATTTACAACAGCTAAAACGTGGAAGCAAATCAAGTGTCCATCTACAGAAGGACAGATAAGCAAAATGTGGTATATACAGACAGAGTTCTCTCTCTCTTTTTTTTTCCTTTTTGGCTGCACTACACAGCATGCAGAACTTCCCCAACCAGGGACTGAACCCACGGCCCCTGCAGTGGAAGCGCGGAGTCTTAACCATGGGATGGCCAGGGAAGTCCCCAGACAATGGAGTATTATTGTTTTACAAAGGAAGAAAATTCTAGATAAGTGAGAATTTATCATATACAGTTGAATCTTGAATGACACAAGTTTGAACTGTGTGGGTCCACTTACATGTGGACTCTTTTCAATAGTAATCACTATGGTACTATGTGACCTGTGGTTGGTTGACTCTGAGGGAACAAAACCATGAACATGGAGAAACCTAGTAGACAAAAAGCTGACTACGCAGATTTTCAACTGGGTGGAGGATTAGTGCCCCTAGCCCTTGTATGGTTAAAGGGTCAGCTATATATATTTTTTACATCTGTCCTGAAGCAATAAAGGAATAAAGAAATGATGCCTATACACAGATGTGACAAAAAGTTTACAGTGAGTTTTCAAAAATATTTGTATACAAAAAAATTTTTTTTAATTTTTTTTTTGTGTGTAATAAAGTTTTGTTAAAGTATAAAGGAGATAGAGAAAGCTTCTGACATAGGCATCAGAAGGGGGCAAAAGAGTACCCCCTATACAAAAATTTTTAACTAAAGTAAGCTTTTCTACAATGCTCACAAATTCTGTGCTTGTGAAAAAGCTTGAAAAAAATTGTCATTTTTTTTCCTGTGTTGTCTGTAGAATAAAAATTGGCATAAATAGTAAAAATTGCTATTGCTCTGATATTTTGTAATTTCATATATTTTACCAAATTTATATAATTTAAAATTTCATAAAATAATCTTTTCCTTCTTGGATACTTATAGGCTCATTTATTTTGAGTTGAAGACAGCTTTACTTACATAAACTTATTGCTTAATAAATTATGTAACCTTACAAATAGAAACATCAGAATTCACAAAATAGAGAAAGCCAAAAAGTAAAAATAATATCCCATATTAGTGGAATACATATAGTAAATTATAGAATATAAGGCACCTAGAATAGCAGGTTTTGAAAGTCGAATGTCAGAAAGAAGGTGATTCTCTTTAACAATCCTCAGTGATGCAATTTATAAGTTTTCTCCGTGATTTTATGTTATTTTCTTAATTTTTCTTCCTTCAAATGTAAACCTCTCAGCCTATATAACATTATGGATATTGAAAATATTAATAGGTGTGAATAGCTGCAAATGACATAGGCTACCAGAGAATACATGTAATTTGTGGATCTCTGGAATATGTAGAAAACACTTCAGAGTAGTAAAAGTACAAAGTACACAGTTATTTCTAATTCAAAATACTTTACAGTTTTTAACCTGGTGTTTCTTGCATTAACACAGTGAAGAAAAAAAATGTGAAGTTCTGAGTGCTGAGTTTTTCAGGACCCAGAAATGAATGTTTATCTGAAACAAGTATAATGAATTATGCTATAGAACTAGAAAATCTAAAATCAAACTTTAATCAGGTTACAAGGAAACCCTGATGCTAGTAAAAAAATTTTTTTTCTATGTAAGTAAATAATCCAATTATTCTTTAAACACTGCTTAAGCATTTTGGTAAAGACTTTTTCTATTCTTCATAGTATTTTCCTCCTTGAAAAAATTTATGGTTTCATTTTTATGTTTTCTGTGTTTTTTTCCATGTGCTAAAATGATTTTATTTTTTAAAACCCACTATTTCTTATTAGCAATATAAATGACTTTGTGCTTTTCGAGGACACCAATGTCGTGCTCCAGCTGCTTCATCTCTTCCTCCAGCTTCTGCTTGCGAATCTTCTTTGGTATGGAGTCAATGAAGACAGAGAGGGACTGAAACTCCTTATGCACCTCTTCCCAGTTCTTTTTCAGCCCCTGCAAATGGTAAAGAAAACTGTATATACCAAAGCAAACCACAGGAGCAGAGTAAATCACAAAGAAAATTGCACTGGGAGGAAAAATGTAAACAGGTAAAGAAAACTGACAAAAATAACCAAAAAATGATACGTGTTTATCAAGTTCTTGGCCACAGTAACAAAACGGACTGTATAGAGGCCAAACCCTGTCCTTGATTGTGTGCTCAATTCCCATTGGGAGTATTTATTTTCTTTGTTTTTCATCTTACTATACTTGTTTTTACCATCAAATACATGTATGTGGAATTATAAGTAGTATGAAACTAAGCTCTTAGCATATGCTTTGGTAAAAACAACTTAGAACTGATATCCCCAAGCAAAAAAAAAAAAATTTTTTTGAACAGGAAAATATTTCTTATAAAAATTTTAGTTTTTTTCTTTAGAAAAAAATATTATCCTTATTCTTCAACAGAGAAATCATCAAAACACTAGATTCTAACATACATGGACATGTTTTCTTGTCTCCAACTAAATGCAATCATATAAAATGATGAAATTCAAATTAACAAGAGATGATCTTTTATGTGCTTTCAATATCAGGAGGAATTCTTCCCCCACATAGTGAAGAGATCTACACTCCCCATTAATCTCTTCTACAAATGACTGAAATGTCATGCTAATTCAATAAGGTCTGTGTGTGAGCTTAGTTGCTCAGTCAAGCCCAACTCTTTGCGACCCCGTGGACTGCAGCCCGCCAGGCTCCTCTGTCCATGGGGATTCTCCAGATAAGAATACTGGAGTGGGTTGCCATGCCCTCCTCCAGGGGATCTTCCCAACTCAGGGATTAAACCCAGGTCTCCTGCATTGCAGGCAGATTCTTTACCATCTGAGCCACCAATTCAATAAGGTAGTTAATGTTTAATGTTCTCAGAAACCAACAAATTCAAATTTAGGAATCTCTTTAGGAACAATAATGGTTATTTCCATCTCTGCTTAGTTATTATTTCTTACCACAATGCTCTAGAAGCCCCACTGACAAAATGATCAAACTAATTGAACTCATGCAATGAAATTTTATAAATTAATACTTTCTATTGTTCACAATGGATACACCAATCATGTTATTTACACAAAAATGGAAAGTAAAACAAAATGGAATATTGCCTCGAAATTATGATCCCTGACACACAGATGGAGAAAGATATCTCATTCAAATGTAAACCAAAAGGAAGTTGGGGTAGATATACTTATGTCAGAAAAATCTGACTTTAAAAGTAAGACTATAATAAGAGAAAAAGGGCATTACATAATGATAAAGTGGTTGATACAACAAGAGTATATAACATCTGTAAATATTTATGTGCCCAACATGTGAAGTGAATGAAGTGAAAGTCACTCAGCTGTGTCTGACTCTTTGCGATGCTATGGACTATACAGTCCATGGAATTCTCCAGGCCAGAATACTGGAGTGGGTAGCCTTTCCCTTCTCCAGGGGATCTTCCCAACCCAGGGATCAAACCCAGATTTCCCACATTGCAGGCAGATTCTTTACCAGCTGAGCCACAAGGGAAGCCCAACGTAGGAGTGTCATAATGTACAAGGCAAATATTACAAATTGAAAGCAAAAAACAGACAGCACTATGATTATAGTAGGGGACTTTTAATACCCTACTTACACTAATGAATAGATCATCCAGACAGAAAATCAGTAAGGAAGCATTGACTTTAAATGACAGGTTATATCAGATGGATTTTACAGAAATATAAAAAATTTTCCATCCAAATGACTAAAAAAGCACACTCTTCTCAAGTGTACATAGAATATTCTCCAGAACATATCGTATATTAGGTCACAAATCAAGTCTTAATAAATTTAAGAGGACTAAAATCATATCAAATATATTTTCTGATTACAGTGGTATGAAACTAGAAACCAATCATACAAAAAAAATTAGAAAATTCATGAGTAAGTGGAGATTAAACAACATGATACTGAACAATCAATGGGTCAAAGAAGAAATCAAAAGAGAAGTTTAAAAACACCTTGAGTCAAACTAAAATGGAAATATATTAATATTTATAAGATTCAGCAAAAGCAGTTCAAAAATGGAAGTTCATAGTAATAAATGCCTACCTCAAGAAACAAGAACAATCTCAAATAAACAGCCTAACATTACACACTTCTAGGAACCAGAAAAAGAAGAACAAAGCCCAAAGTTAGTAGAAGGCAATAACAAAGATTAGAGCATAAATAAATAAAATAGAGACTAAAACGACAATGGAAAAGATCAGTGAAATAATGACTGGTTCTTTGAAAGGATGAACAAATTTAACACAGCTCTAGCTAGATTCACCAAGAAAAAAAAGAAAGGACTCAAATAAATACAAAATGAAAGTGGAGCTATTATAATCGATACCACAGAAATACAAAGAATCATGTTGTCTGCTATGAACAATTATATGCCAACACAATGGAAGCTTAGGAGAAACAGATAAATTGCCAGAAGCATACAACCTACCAAGGCTGAATCATGAAGAAAGAGAAAATCTGGACAGACCAATTACTAGGAAAAAGATTAAATTCGTAACCAAAAACCTCCTAACAAATAAAAAGTTCAAGACCAGACAGTGGATTCTACCAAACACTCAGAGAAGAATTATTACCACTCCTTCTCAAACTCTTCAGAAAGAGAAGAGAAGGGAACTCTTTCATACTCATTTTATGAGGCTAGCATGATCCTTATACCAAAATCAGACCATGGTGCCACAAGAAAAGAAAATTACAGGTCAATATCCCTTGGAACATAAGTGTGAAAGTCCTCAACAAAATATTAGCAAACTGAATTTGACAATCCATTAAAAGACCCATATACAAACATACTTTGGAGGTATATCAGGCTTGGTTCCAGACCACATCAATAAAACAAATAACCTGCCCTGGGTCGGGATCTAGGGAGGAGGAAATGACAACCCATTTCACTATTCTTGCCTGGAGAGTTCCATGGACAGAGGAGCGTGATGGGCTATATAGTTCATGGGGTCAGGACATGGAGTCCTGAAAGAGATGGACATGACTGAACGACTGAGCACACACATGCACACTATATCATAATCTATTAAGTGTGCAATAGCATTATGTCTTAAAAAATAAATACTTTAATAAAAAAATACCATATTGCTAAAAAGTGCTCACCATCATATGATAGTGCAGGGTTATCACAAACTTTCAATTTGTAAAAATCTCAATGTCTGTGAAGCACAATAAAACAAAGTACAATTAAACAAGGTATGCCGGTACTGTAATCAAGTGGGATTTATTCTAGGGGTGCAACATCCACAAATCAGTCCATGTGATATGCTTCATTAATAAAATAAATGACAAAAATCATATGATCACCTCAACTGATATAGAAAAAGCATGATCAAATTCTGCTTCCATTTATGATAAAAAAAAAACTCTCAACAAGGTGCACATAGAAGAAACATACCTCAACATAATAAAGGCCAAATATGAAAAGCCCACAGCTAACATCATACTCAAGGTAAAAAGCTAAAAGTTTTTCTTCTAAGGTCAGGAACAAAACAAAGATGCCCACTCTAGCTACTATTATTTAACATAGTATTAGAAGTCCTAGCAAGAGCTCAAGAGTGGCATAATTTAAAATTATTGATTACAAAAAAAGAAAGAAAATGTAGTCCTTAAAAAGCATGGCTATATATTTAGATTTATGAGGGAATTAGAACTGTCTTATATAACAATACCTTCATAATAAGCCCTCAGAGTACAATCTTATAAACTTTCAGGGGACAAAGTGGTTTATTTCCATATTAAGATAAAAATGACTACAGGATTGGACATACTTTATAGAGAAGATTTGTTGAGAAAAAAGGCTACCGATGTTGAACATTTCTTGAGAGAGATTACATCAAGAAACAAGATAGAAGGAAAAATATCTTTTAAATTTTAAAAAGAGGGGGATGGGTTAACACAGTTCTTAATAGTGTTTGAGAAGTATTCCAAAGAGAAGTCTTCAAAAGAGTTCTATTTTTCCACAGCCTTTCATTATGAAATGGGAAATGTGTTTCCACAGCGCTCTACAGGGGTGCCCACTGCAGAGGTGAAATCTATGTATTTATACACTTTGAAATATCAAAGGTTTTTCAAAGCTCCTTGCGTGATATTTCCCTATTACTTGTGGTCACAGCAGCTATACGTTTCACAATATTTCTTTTTAAAGAAGAGTTTGCTTTATATTCTAGTTTGTACAATAACATTTGGATCAAAGTCAACTGCTAGGTATGGGAACTAAATGTGATTAATATTTCAGATTATATTGGAATAACCTCTTTGCTGTTTTTTAGATATTGCATCTAAAAAAATCTTTTATGCACTGCAGCAATACTGATTTTCCCTTATTTTTATGTCTTAATTTTTCTCCCTTCTGGTCTGATGCTGAGGCAATATTGTTAATTTTGGAAAAATTTCATATAGGGAGAAACTGTCATAAAATAGTGAGAAGTGTCTTCAGCTCCAGGCTCCTCTGATGCCACCCCACCCCCATCCATTTTTTACCTTCTAGTCTTGCTCTGTAACTAGGGGGCACGGTTTAGGGGTGACAGTATTAATCGCTATGGGCTGCTCTTTCCCCAGTGTTTGCCCCAGCAACACGTGGGGGATACTTGCCTGAGTTCAGCCAAGGAGGGCACAGGTGGGAACAAAGTGAGCTTGGGGCATTTCTTCCCCCTCCCTCGATGTCACCTGGACACGACTGGCCCTTCCATTTGTGACTGCAGTGCCCGCCAGGGACCCCTCTCTTCCAGGCTCCAGCTCCCACCTGGCTCTGGTAACGCTGTTTCCAGCCCCTGCCTTTCCAGCCTAGGGTGGTGGTGATTCCCACTGTCCCTAGTCCTGGGTGCCTCAGTGCTTCCCACTGGTTCCCTTAGCGCTGCTTCACCTCTGTAAATAGCTCCTTTGTGAATTCTCTTCAGAATCCCTGTCCGGCATGTTTTCTGAATCCCTGGTGGATAGAGCTTCCATCTGTTATACTCTGTGCACGTGTGTGCTATGTGGTGAGAAGACACCTGCCCGGAAACTGGCTGATGTGAGTTTTCGTCCCTCTTTGTTGTTGTTTAGTTGCTCAGTTCTGTCTGACTCTTTGTGACCCCACGGACTGTAGCCTGTCAGGCTCCTCTGTCCATGGGATTCTCCAGGCAAGATTTCTGGAGTGGGTTGCCATTTCCTCCTCCAGGGTATCTTACCGACTTAGGGATCAAACCTGCATCTCCTACATTGACAGGTGGATTCTTTACCACTGAGCCACCAGGGAAGCTGTCCCTCCTTAGCTAAGTTGATAATTTTGTGAACCAAGGCAAATGTAAAACAAACTCCAAGCTCCTTGACAGTAAGGACCACATTTATTTTGCTCACAACAGTATCCTTTGGGCTGGGTAGAAGGCCTGGAACATGGTAGATGTTCAGGAGATGAATGGACGGATGGATGAAGAAAAGAGTCCACTTACTATATTTGCATTTTATATCCTCACCTGGGAAATGAGAAGTTTGGAATCTTTAGGCCCGATGATTCCTTCCAGGATAATGGGACTGTAATTCTAAAGAACAAGCAGGATGAATCCTATTCGGGTACATGTGAACATATTGTCACAGAACTACACGCAGCTCAACCAGGGGAGGGAGCAGTGTTCAGGGCTTGTTAGAAACAGAGCCAGTGGCTTTGTTACCATGGCAACTACACTACTCAGGCTAATAAGGCATCCAAAGTGGGGTCAGCTATTGTCCATCAGGGTGTATGCAAAGAAACTGCATGACCACATTAGGAAACCAAGGGTTGCTGATCTACTACAGAGGTGCCTGAGGAAAGAGCCTTTTCCTTCCCAGGGAAGTTCTTCCTCTCTTTTCCTATCTTTCAGCATTATTTAGATACAAAATGGCTTTCACAAAAGCACGTAAGTTTAAGAATGGCAGAGTCAGAAAGAAGGAGGGAAGAAAGGAGAGAAAGAGGGAGGGAGGGAACCTAGAGCAGAGCTCGTCTTGAAAGTGACAGGCAGCCAGGTCCGCCAGCCTTCTTGCCTGCCTGTCCTCCCTTCTTCTCTCCAGCACACTATTATTAGTCATCCAGGCTTACACTGGGCACCAGGTTAGACAATGCAGAGACTGCTGACCACAGAGAGACTTGGTTCCTGCCCTCAGGCCACTCCTGTTGTGGGGTATACTTTCTTACTCTGCAGTTTAAGGTTCAGCTAAAGACCTACCTACATCTTGCAGTGGATGTTCATGCCTGGGAACCTTATAAAACATGATCAGTTCATAGACACATATCTCTGTATGTACACATATACAGAGCACATCTCATCAACTAAATCACATTATTCAGAGCAGAAATTTTATCTGTATGACCCTTGGGGCTTAGCAAGATACTCTACGCAGAACAGGTATTTAATAAATGTTTATTGGTGATTATGATGACACTGATAAAATGTTAAGAATTTATAACAGCCTATGAATCCATTTTTCAATAGAAATTAATGTAAAAATATATATTTTTTTCTGTTGTGAAAAGGTCACTAGAATTGGTTTTGTAGAAAGCTTTCACAGTAACAAAACAAGTACTATTTTTACCTCTATAAGAGACAGGATGACTCTAGAAGAATATAAGTAGATGCTTACTAAATACTCTCTAAAGATGGTTGAGCAACTGTGCTCATATCCCCCGAATATTTTAAATGCTTCAGATAAAAGTCTTACATTAAAAACTCCAACGTAAGTGTCTTTAAGTCTATTTTAGTCAAAATAAAGAAAACATAGGTAAAACCTAACACTTCTTTATTTTAAAATCTAGACATTTGCTTATAAGAAAGAAAAAACAGTTGGTCTAGGGACAGGACAGTTTCAATTATTCTAGAGCTCCACCTAGTGAAAAATATCTATTTTATGAATATTATTTTTGAAAAATTCAGGGCCATGGAAATGGAAATAAAAATGCATTTTTGCTTTATTTATGCATGTTCATTGAAGGAGATGGTGAACTTTCTTATGACACTACTCAGGAAAAAACAAGCTCACTCAGTTGGAAACGAATTATTATTCAACAATCCCTATATTATAACATTTTGCTCTCCCCAAAGAAACAGATTTGCTGCATGTAATTGTCACTGTAACTAAAAGACAGTGTTCTGATTCCAAAAATCAAAGTGCTGGGCTTAATGATCATTGATGGTAGGCCCTCCCTTCAGAAATGTTCCAAAGAATTCCACGCAGTCGTGAATTACAGAACACTTACCTGCAGAACCGCTTCCCTTTCTTCATCAGATAGTCTTTTCATAGCTGCTTTCCTGAGGTTTTCCTGGATATAGTTATCGTATTCTTCTTGGGCTTTCTTCACTTCCTCATTTCGCTTACATATATATTCAGGTGTGACACCGTAATCCTTATAAAGATTTTTCAGAAATTAAAAAAAAAAAAACACCCTGAAAGTTATCTTGTATATGTGTACATACCAAGCAACAGTTAGGAGCAAAAGAAATGTTACAGACTTAAAGCCTTTGCTCAAAACACTACAAATTGACAAGTCAGTGATTTTTTTTTTCCTATTGGGAAATAGCAGCTTTTATCTTGAGCTCTCTTTTGCATAATTTTGTTTTTTTAAAAAAAGAAGTTAAATGCTTCTAATGCATTGTAAAAACTGACTCTTAAAACTACTAGGCACATCTGCTTTAAGAAGAAAAAAAAATGACTTGGGCCCCTAAGGTTGTTTTTTGAAATACAACATACAATTTTACGCTCCTGGGCTGCTTATAAGGACTAACAGTGAAGCAATCAGCTGTGATTCTTTCAAGTTAGTGAATGTGTTGATACCACTGTGCAGAGACACAGAACTACTCCCTGTTCATTCTCCAAAAAACTATTTGAGGATGTACTTGGTGGTACCCACACTAGTGAATAAGAAAGGCAGTTTCTGTCCTCACAGAATGTGTTTTCTGTGGGGAGAAAAGCTCATCAAAAAGAGATTATAAAATAATATTTGTAAATATAGTAAGAAGAAGGAGAGTCATGAGAGCTAATTGAGATAAAATGTCAGGGAAGATCTCTCTGAGGAAGCAGCTGTTGAGAGATATGAGTCATTGAAACTATGCACAAATATCCTGGTTCTTCTCCTTGGAAGCAATACTTTCCTGCTCCCCTTTTAAGTAAGATGTAGCCATGTGACCTGCATTACCCCATGGGAGTGCAAGTAACTTCTGTCCTTTTTGAGTCTTATGAACTAATGGATGGCTTGCCATGTTCTTTTTCTCTCTGGTATGCTTTGGGTTGCTGAGTCCTGGAATGAGGACTGGAAGTAGAGCTCCCAGCAACTCTCAAAGGACATGCAGCACAAGGAAGCACTAAAACTTAGTTACTTTTAGTTACATAAATTTGGGGGTTATTTGTTAGCCACAGCATAACACAACCTAATCCTGACTGAACAAGGGATAGAAACCTTAGCTATTAATATAAATGTGCTCTGGAAAGTTGCAAAGCACTATACAGATAAACTCTAATTGCTCAGTACACTGAGCATTTAGTTATTAGTACTCTGGGTAAATTAGTTCAATGGTAACCAGTTCAGTCCACTTCAGAAAACCCTGAGAGCAGCACCTCTTTTCAGCTCAGTACAATCAGTAAGGTTCATAATGATGATTCTGTGTCATCACAAGAGATTATATTTGGCATATTCTGTTTAAGAAAAAGAACTACCTCACAGATGAGGAAAAGCTGCATTGATCTGAAATATTCATTCTCATGTGCTGAATCATTGAGAGCTAATGCATACTATTAATAATTGCATGTATTATAATATCCACTCATCATTGAAGTTTTACTAGGTGCCAGGTATTGTGTCAAGTGCTTAATGTATTTTATATCATTTAATCCTCACAATGCTGTGATAAATCTAATAACCTGTTAAAAAGATTATGGAGTTAAATAAGTGGCAGAGTTAGAATTTGAAATGCTGTCTTACTATTATCGCTGTATAACTCAGGCCAACATCCATGCTTCACTGTGCTAACAAATTACCCTCATGGCACACAATACTTTACTTGGAACTAAAACATGAGGTTCGCTCATTTTTAAAAAATGGCATCGCCCTAAAATGGACCTGCTGTCTCACTTAATAATAGATTTAAAAACTTAACTCTGATAAGTGGAAAGTAAGTTGAGTTAGTCCTTCCTGAGCTCTGACTGCTTAGCCACCAAGAGTATTACTAGGAGCAGAGAATCTGCATTGCTTGGTAGACAAGCTCAGGTAGACTAACCTAACATTTTTCTGTCTCTGTGATGGAGACTCAATTTCTTGTTCAAGGCAGAAAATGTATCAAAGTGGGCGGCTGATGCAAAATGTAGCCATGAGGAGGGGGGCACAGGGTGGCGGTTTGCAGCATGACTGTCAAAGGAAAAGGGGTGTTTTGTGTGTGTGTGTGTGAGATGGTGGAGAAATGATGGGTTGGAAATGGTTTTAAAAAGCCAGGAGAATGAAATTTCTGCTTTTCCACACCCTATGGGACAGGAAGTCTGAGCAGCCTCCAGGGGCCATAGAAGGAGGAAGTATCAAAGAGAAGCCTGAAATCTTCATTGTCATGTGCTGCCAACTCCTAGACTCCTATTGAGGTGTCTTAGCCAACTGAGCATCAGCGGTTTCTCAGGGACTAAGTAGTTTTTCTCTAACAATGGCCTTGAGGCTCCTGTTTTGATTGTGAACAGGCATTGGATTCATCATGATGGATCACCGGATGACCTCAATGCAAGCCCCTCAACACTTACTATTACAATTTCCTTTTTCCTCTCCTTCTTCCTTTCCTTTCTTTTTTGCCACAAGTTATTATTAAGCATAGGCTTCCCCGGTGGTTCAGAAGTAAAGAATCTGCCTACAAGGCTGGAGCTACAGGAATGTGGATTCAATCCATGGCTTGGGAAGATCCCCTGAAGGAGGGCATGGCAACCCACTCCAGTGTTCTTGCCTGGAGAATCCCATGGACAGAGAGGAGGCTGGTGGGTTATAGTCCACAAGGTCACAAAGAGTCGGACACCACTGAAGTGACTGAGCAAGCACACATTATATTATGTACTGGAGAAAGAAATGGCAACCCACTCCAATATTCTTCCCTGCCGAATCCCATGGACCAAGGAGCCTGGCAGGCTATAGTCCATGGAGTCACAAATGCTCAGACACGACTGAGTGACTGAGCATGTTCATTATTATGCATTACTATTCTTTAGAATTTTGTACTCATACTATGTGTGTTTCCAGCATTTTTGTGTTTCATAAACATGCAAAGTAAAATAGGCTTCATGTAAGGTACTTTTCATAAGCTTTTTAAGCTTTAAACTTCTACATTTAAAGAGCTAAACCCATGCTTCTATAATTTCAGCAATGAAATCATATGCTTATCTGATAAGCACCTTTTCAGATAGAAATGAAGGTCCTGAAAAGACTAGATTATTGTTCAGTACTTTCAAGGTCTGTTTTACTCCAAACCAAACACAAGTGAATATATTCAAACTGAAATAGTACTGTGAATTATTTATACTACACTGATAGGATGGACAGTTCTAAAGTTGTTTTGCTCTTCATTTCTCTCATTCTGTTACGAAGATAATGTAAAGTGGAAGAAAGTGAAAGTGAAAGCCACTCAGTTGTGTCTGACTCTGACTCTTTTCTCAGGCAAGAATACTGGAGTGAGTTGCCATGCTCTCCTCCAGGGGATCTTCCTAACCCAGGGATCGAATCCAGGTCTCCCGCATTGTAGGCAGATTCTTTTTTTTTTTTGTAGGCAGATTCTCTACCAGCTGAGCCACCAGAGAAGCCCAAGATAATGTAAACTAATAACTAAACCCTAGAATCTTCTGAAAGGTTATTCCTTCCAGATTTACAATAATGACTGTGCTTCTAGCGACAATTCCACCTCAACAAAAATGAGTATCTTTAGAGAATGCGTGTTATAATTCTTAAATATATTAATAATTGAAATTAAGGAAAACAACTACAGTTTTCCTCTACTAAACTACATGTCGTTGTTCATTCCAAATTGTCTGTACTTTCACCACACTAGATTTGGACGAAACACAGACTTCAGGGGAATGAGAACTGACAATCTAGATAATTTGTTCAGTGAGAGCACTGTTTTTTTTTTAATTGAAGTAAAGGTGATTTACAATAGTATATCAGTTTTAGGTGTACAACATAGTGGTTCAAAATTTTTATAGATTATAGATTATACACACCATTTAAAGCTGTTTTAAAATGTTGGCTATATTTCCCTTGTAGCTGACTTGTTTAATATATCCTAGTAGCTTATTTATTTTATCCATACTAGTTTGAACCTCTTAATCCTCTCTACTTTTCCACTCCCCACTGGTAGCCATTAGTTTTTCAGAAAGCACCATTAGTAATAATAGAATCTTTATGAATAATTTGAATATCAGGTCTTTTTAAAAATTGCAGTACTCAATTATATAACACTTTATTATTTAAAAAATTTCCCCATTCTGGTTTTAGCACTGAAAGCCCTGCATGTTGGGGAAACCTTTAGTCCCAGGCAATTGGACAGCTGGTCATCCTATGAAAGATCTTCTCTTTTGGAAGCTAAGACTATAGCAGTCTTAGGAAAGCTAAACTATAGCAGTAATAGGAAAAAAAGGAGAAATTACTGAACCATAACTTTGAAGAGGTTTTTAATGTGAAGAAGCATTGTCACTTGAAGTACTGCTAACACTTTAAATTATAGGCAGCACTATGTGAAATACTGAGTCTGGGTCTCTGTAGACAAAGTCAGTAAAGTATATACATGAAATTGCCATCCTAACTGATAGGGACAAATGACAGGTAAAGATATAAACAAATGATAATTATCTTATAAATAACCAAGTTTAGTGAGTTTGTTCGTTGTTTTTCTTGCACATTAGCTGTCGGCTTGCTAAAAACTAACTATTAAGAGCTAACTAGCTAGTGATAGGTCAATCTATGCCAAATCTTCACCTTGAATTTTAGAAAAAATTCCATTTTCTTCCTCTATTATTTTTATAATTTTTTATTAGATGGTAATTGCTTTGTAATCCTGTGCTGATAGCAACAATACTACTTAATTTTAAAACAAATTTTTACTGGAGTATAGTTGCTTTGCAACGTTGTGTTAGTTTCTGGGACAGCAAAGTGAATCAGCTATATGTTTACATACATCCCCTCTTTTGGGGATTTCCTTCCCGTTAGGTCACCATAGAGCATCAAGTCAAGTTCTCTGTGTTATACAGTAGGTTCTCATTAGCTATCTATTTTACACATATCAGATGTTATTAATATATCATAAGGCTACCTTTTTATTGATGTACTTTGGAACCAGCCCTGAAGTTTCAAGGTCATGCTTGTCTCCAGTTCTTTTGTCAACATAAATTGGTTTAGGCTTTTTAGCCACTCCCATAATGACATCAGCTGCATTTGTATTTATAAAATTTTTTTCACTCTGTATTCCCATGACTGGATGCTCAGTCCTCAGTGGCACAGGTGGCTTTCTGCGCTCATTCCATTCAAACTTTTTTTCTGTTAAACATAACATTTCCACTGTTAATGTTAAACCATAAACATGTCTACTCAATATTATTTATAACATCCAGATGTTTTGCCATTAGTATATTAGAGTTGTATTAAAAATATATTCAAATATTTAAGGTAAAAATCAGTAATAATAAATGCAAAAAATTAAATGTGAAATAATCAATATGTTGAAGAACAATATAAAAATCTAAGGGAAGAAAATAAACTCCCTAAATCATATGTGAGCTAATACATTTTTACTAGCTATTATAAAAATATTTTCTTATAAAGATTTCAACAACAAATATTCAGTTTGCCCATTGAAAAAAAGTTCAAAGAAACATTACAACATTTTTCTGAGTACTTTCAATATTATGAATAATTGTTTTCAGAGGAAAGTTACTCTAAAATCACCAAGTAAAGAAATCAAACTTGAGGTATTGAAAGTCCAAGAATCAGTGAAATTTTTTGCAGATTATCATTATAATGTTTATCATTGATTATTATTACAAGGCATAAAAATCATTTAATAGCTGTGCATCCAACATGCAGCTTAAGAAATAAAGATTACCAATACTGTTGAGGTTTCCTATTCACTCCTCACTGATTACATCTCACCTCCTTAAATAACTACTATTCAGAGTTTACCCTATTTCTCTATTCCACATTCTCTTAATTAGCAGCAGATGAAAATGGCTGTTTCTACACAGTCTCTTTGACTTGACCATTCTGACTCACCTGTTCCGATACAGCCACATAGAAATGGTTTGTCAAAAAGCTAAAATGTAAAATAACTACATTTTATTTCCCAGAACCAAAGGCAACAACTATCTTGACAAAACCTTACTCAAATCTTAACCCCACACACATTTACTACTTTGTCTTTATTCATTTCTGTAGTTTGAACTTTTAAATCATTTTATATAACTTCTATTATCAGAAAAAAAACAATATTTAATTATTGAAGGTCTATGAAATGGATTGATCTCTTGTTATGGGCTGAATTGTGTTCTGACCCCTATATTCATATATTGAAGCCCTAAACCCCAGAACCTCAGAATGGTACTGTAGTTGGACATAGTTTTAAAGAGGGACTTAAGTTAAAATGAAGTCATTACAGTGAGCCCTAATCTAATATGAATGATCTCCTTATAAAAGGAGGAAATTTGGACACAAACACAAAAGGAAAACCATGTGAAGACACAGGGAGAAGACAGCTATCTATAAGCCAAGAAGAGAGGTCTCAGAAGAAATGAACCCTGGAAATATCTTGATGGTGTTTTTGTTTGTTTTTGGCTGCACCTTGAGGCATGTGGGATTTGTTTCTCTGACCAGGGATTGAACCCATAACCCCTGCAATGGAATCACAGAGTCCTAACCATTGGACTCTCACATAATTCCAGGAAACACCCTGATCTGGGATGCTAGCTCTCAGAATTGTGACAAAATTAATTTCTATTGAAGCTACTCTATGGGGCTTTCCAGATGGCACTAGTGGTAAAGAATCCACCTGCTAATGCAGGAGACAGTAAGAGACAGAGTTTCGATCTGGGTTGAGAAGATCCCCTGCAGAAGGAAATGGCAACCCACTCCAGTATTCTTGCCTGGAGAGTCCCATGCACAGAGGAGCCTAGCAGGCTACAATCCATAGGGTCTCAAAGAGTCAGACATGATTGAAGTGATTCAGCACGCACATACTTGTTATGGCAGCAGTGCTAGCAAACCAATATACCCCTGATAATTCTACACCCTCTGCAAACATTATAAAGGAAGTTTTCAATATTCACTTTGTCATTAATTCATGCAATATGTTTTTGTTGAATACTTACTATGTTCCCAGGTAGTGCTCTAGGAACTGTGGGTACAGAAGTGAACAAAAGAGACAAAGTTCCCTTTCTCATGGAGTTTACATGATAGTGGGGATGAAAAAATGTAATATGTAGACTATGATGTATATATTTGCTTAAACAATATGTAAAATTGTTTACTGTTCTTGACATACAAAAATAGTTATCTTCTTCCTATTTAACATACTACTGAGATGTTGTGAACATTGTCAGAAATTGAATTGTGGTATTCTTACAAAGCCTGGAGCAGAGAATAAACCTGTTACAACCCAAATATTTCCCATCTACTAAACATACCCAAGTAAGGATGGTATAACCAGTTTGCCTAAAAAACCAGAGGCTTTAAAAAATTAATTTATTTGTTCTAATTTGAGGCTGATTACTTTACAACACTGTAGCGGTTTTTGCCATACATTGACATGAACCAGCCATGGGTGTACATGTGTTTCCCATCCTGAACCCCCCTCCCACCTCTCTCCCCATCTCATCCCTCAGGGTCATCCCAGTTTCACCAGCCCTCAGCACCCTGTCTCATGCATCGAACCTGGACTGGCAATCTTTTTCACATATGATAATATACATGTTTCAATGCTATTCTCTCAAATCATCCCATCCTTGCTTTCCCCCATAGAGTCCAGAAGTCTGTTCTTTATATCTGTGTCTCTTTTGCTGTCTCACATATAGGGTCATTGTTACCATCTTTCTAAATTCCATATATATGTGTTAATATACTGTATTGGTGTTTTTCTTTCTGACTTACTTCACTCTGTACAATAGGCTCCAGTTTCATCCACCTCATTAGAACTGATTCAAATGCATTCTTTTTAATAGCTGAGTAATATTCCCTTGTGTATATGTACCACAACTTCCTTATCCATTTGTCTGCCAATGGACATCTAGGTTGCTTTCATGTCCTGGCTATTGTAAACAGTGCTGCGATGAACATTGGGGTACACATGTCTCTTTCAATTCAAAACCAGAGGCTTTTATATGTTCACATGAGAAATATTTAGAAGCCAAATTTAATTATGAGTTGAAAGTGCATGCAGATGACTTCCTTAACTATAGCTTTAGAAATGCATTTAAGAGGCAAAAGTGAATTCTCAGAAAATAAAGCAACAGTTTAGGAAGACTGATAACTCATTCCTCGTTGAGTAAGTAAATTATAAATCTTGCTTTGTGATTGTGTGCTGGATAAAGCCTAAAGCCTACCCCCATCTTACTCTATGGTATATCTACCTAAGCATCATCTCATCTATCAACCCAAGAGTAGAGGATGGCAATGGGGCTGCTGCTTAGTTGCTCAGGCATGTCTGACTCTTTGCGGACAATGGGGGAAGGTTTGGAAAAAGGAGTGAGGATGTCTAGTCATAAATTATTCCCCCTGATACCCATATTCTCTATGACCACAACTGACTTCCAAATCCGAAAGCCAAATGATTTGGTGTCTTTCTAGGCTTCCCTGCTAGCTCAGCTGGTAAAGAATCCGCCTACAATGCAGGAGACCCCAGTTTGAATCCTGGGTCAGGAAGAGCTGCTGGAGAAGGGATAGGCTACCCACTCCAGTATTCTTGGGCTCCCCTGGTGGCTCAGCTGGTAAAGAATCTGCCTGTAGTGTGGGAGATTCAATCCCTGGGGTGGGAAGATCCCCTGGAGAAGGGAACGGCTACTCACTCCAGTATTCTGGCCTGGAGAATTCCAGGGACTGTATATATAGTCCATGGGGTGGCAGAGCCAGACACAACTGAGTGACTTTGACTTTCACTTTTCACGTTAGGCTGTAACAAAATGGCAGTATCAACAGGGTCTCATAGTCATGCAGATGTTCCATTACTTGAATTCAGAGAAATGTTCATATATCTGGTAGGTATTTTTCAGTCTGTCTAGCAAGTTCCTGTGTTCAAAATGGCAGCATATTCACAGACTGGTAGCTGTTTGGCCTATGTTACCTTCAACTTTGTTTCACTGCATGGGCTTTTATTTTCTCTTATTTTGATGGAACTTTAGAGCTCTTACAAAACCCCAAATTTTTTATTCTAAAGGCCAATGAATTTTTGTGTTTGTTTTACCTTATATGTTTATAAGAGAGAAAGACTTCATCTCTTTTTCCTTATTTGAAACTTAGGATTTACAGTTTGGTAGCTGTGCTATGTAACATGCTTAACTTTGGCGAGTATTCATAAGGACCCAAGTAATGTCACTGGTCCTAAGGCACTTAAGGAATTAAATTCTATTTTAAGATTTTCCAGTATTCTCAAGTGGTTGTGGGTTGCAAAATAACACTTGAGGAAAAGACAAGAGACTTTCAAAGAACTGAATTTAAACATTAATATTGTATTTTTACACTTGCTTCTTTCATCTTTCCTAATAATGCCCTCATCCTTTATCATGGCATATGGGTTATGAGAGGATTGTGAGACACAAAACATTGCCATAGGGAGAACGAGTTACACTTTTGTCAAAAGGCGATACCCTCATTGGGCTTGACATACTGTGTTAGTTCTTTGATCCAAGAAGACGGGAAGAGGCTAACTGTCTAAAAGACATTGCCCTCGAGTTTATTATCCAAAACCAGTAGGGAAGACATACTCAAGATGGGAAGAAGCTGTTTCGTGCATACTTGTCACAAATCCTTTTTCATCTATTCTCCACTTTTCTGATGGCCTTTCCCCCAATATCCATATTCTCTATGACCACAACTGACTACAACATTTGTGAGGCCCAGCACAAGATGAAAATGTGGGACTCCTTGATAAAAGGAATTTCAAGATAACAAAAGCAGAGCATTAAACCAAGTGTGGGATCCTTTGAAGCACGGGGCCCAGTGTGGCTGCACAGGTAGCATGCCCAAGAAACTGATTCTCATTCATGAAGCCTCTTCCATTACATCCAATTCTTTCATTGTCCTAATGGTCTTTGAGATCTGAGAAATTTAAAGCCCATACTCAGAGCTAAAATGAGACTGGTCATTGCTTTGACAACTGATAGTAATGGTTGTATTCTCATTTCCTGGAGAAAAGACTAGATATGGTTTAGAGCCAAGCAATTTTGCCCATTTGGGGTTTAGAACTCTTATAATTGTTGCTTGTTATTGATGTTATATGGCTAGATCTGAAGATGGTGCTGGAGTTGGGGCTTTATCATATAGTCCAAGATGTAGTTCAAGATGCTTGCACCTTCAAAAGGAAAGTCTTTGAGGGAGGAAATTTAGCATTCTCTACTCTCTTTTTCTACTACATAGTGGGGTTTTTGAGAATTTTTTAAAATACATTTTTTCATTGTAGTGGATTTGTATTCTGTAAGTAACAGGTGTACCATACACTGATTCAGAATTTTTAAAGGTTATACTCTGTTTATAATTACTATAAAATTTGACTATATCACCTGTTATACAATATATCCTTGTATCTTATTTTATACACAATAATTTGAGTCTCTTCATCCCCTACTTTATTGCCTCTCTTTTTCCCTCTCCCCACTGGTAACCACTAGTTTACTGTGTGTGTGCTTCTTTTCTGTTATATTTACCAGTTTGCTTTATCTTTTACATTCCATATATGTGATATAAAAAAGTTTACATCTTTGTCTGACTTATTTCCCTTAGTATAATACCCTCCAAGTCCATCCATGTTGCTGCAAATGGCAATAGTTCATTCTTTTTTATGGTTGAGTGGTATTCCATTGTATACATATACCACAACTTCTTTATCCATTAATCTGCTGATGGGCACTTAGGTTGCTTCCGTGTTTTGGCAATTATAAATAATGCTGCTAGGAATACTATGGTGGGTGTACTATATTCCTGATTTCTGCTTTCTCCTAGCCTCTAAAATTCTGTTTAATATGAGCTAAAGTTGTTATTACTATGAACATTTAATATTCACAGACAAAATAATTTTAGTTAAATTACCCGTAAACACTTAAAATTAAAAAGTGATAAAACCTACTGGGTGGTAGAATTTTTTCCTTTGAATGTTTCTTCAGGAAATCCTTTGGAGAAGGTACTTCAAGTTTTGCTGGTCCCATAGTTTTCATTGCAGTTTTAAATTTTTGCATGTCATCTTTTACAGTTGCTTTAAAAATCGACACATACCTAAAATTTTAAAAAAGGCTGTAGCATTTATCTTTAATAAGAATCATACAAAGTTTTTAAAAGGATATACATTTCTAATTTACATATATCTATATTCTATAATATATATCTATATTCACTTGGAGATAGTCATTAAACATAATTATCTGAGCCCTGTCCATCAGGCTTAGGCAAACTAGATTAAAGTTTTACTCTAATAAAACAGTGCCAGGATAAAGATGATCATAGTATTTACTTACTACTCTTTGACCATCTGTAGCATTTATAATGATGTAACCTCTCCCATATCTGATATTGGTAGTCTGTCTGTCTGTCTCTCTCTCTCCTTTGTTCTTTTTCTTTTGCTTATAAGTCTTCTCTAATGTTCACATTTGCCATTTCAATGATTTCTGCACTGATCATTATTATATCTCATTATTTGGAATTTTTCTTCTTCTTTTTAAGTTTCTTAAGGCGCAATTTTAGCTATTTGACTTTAAATATTTATACTTATACCTGCTTCCTGAGAAATCTGTATGCAGGTCAAGAAGCAACAGTTAGAACTGGACATGGAACAACAGACTGGTTCCAAATTGGGAAAAAGAGTATGTCAAGGTTGCTTATTGTCACCCTGGTTATTTAACTCATATGCAGGGTGCATCATGTACAATGCTGGGCTGGATGAAACACAAGCCACAATCAAGATTGCCAGGAGAAATATCAATAACCTCAGATATGCAGATGACGCCACCCTTACAGCAGAAAGCAAAGAAGAACTAAAGAGCCTCTTGATGAAAGTGAAAGAGGAGAGTAAAAAAGCTGGCTTAAAACTCAACATTCAAAAAATCATGACATCTAGTCCCATCACTTCATGGCTAGCAGATGGGAAAACAATGGGAACAGTGAGAGACTTTATTTTTTTGGGCTCCAAAATCACTGCAGATGGAGACTGCAGCCATGAAATTAAAAGACGCTTGCTCCTTAGAAGAAAAGCTATGACCAACCTAGACAGCATATTAGAAAGGAATGCATTTGAGTCAGTTCTAATGAGGTGAATGAACCTAGAGCTATTACACAAAGTGAAGTACGTCAGAAAGAGAAAGATAAATTTCGTACTCTAATACATATATACGGAATCCAGAAAAATGGTACTGAAGAATTCATTTACAGGGCAGCAATGGAGAAACAGATATAGAAAATAGACTTATGGACATGGGGAGAGGGGAGGAGAGGGTGAGATGTATGGAAAGTGTAACATGGAAACTTACATTACCATATGCAAAATAGCTAGCCAATGGGAATTTGCTGTATGGCTCAGGAAACTCAAACAGGGTCTCTGTTATCAATCTAGAGGGTTGGGATGGGAGGGAGATGGGAGGGAGGTTCAAAAGGGAGGGGATATACGTATACGTATGGTTGATTCATGTTGAAGTTAGACAGAAAATAAGAAAATTCTGTAAAACAATTATACTTCAATTAAAAAAAATCAATAAATTAAAAAAAAAAAAGCAGAGACATTATTTCACCGACAAAGGTCTATCTAGTCAAAGCTATGGTTTTTCCAGTAGTCATGTATGGATATTGAGAGTTGGACTATAAAGAAAGTTGGGCGCCAAAGAATTGATGCTTTTGAACTGTGGTGTTCGAGAAGACTTTTGAGAGTCCCTTGGACTGCATGGAGATCCAATCAGTCCATCCTAAAGGAAATCAGTCCTGAATATTCATTGGAAGCACTGATGCTGAAGCTCCAATACTTTGGTCACCTGATGCTGACTCATTGGAAAATACTCTAATGCTGCGAAAGATTGAAGGTGGGAAGAGAAGGGGATGACAGAAGATGAGATGGTTGGATGGCATCACGGACTCGATGGACATGAGTTTGAGCAAGCTCTGGGAGTTGGTGATGGACAGGGAAGCCTGGTGTGCTGGAGTCCGTGGGGTTGCAAAGAGTTGGACACAACTGAGTGACTGAACTGACTTATCTGATAGAAGCCAAAAATTTCCCCTAGGCATTGCTTCATAGCTGCATAGCACAAATTTTGATATGATATGCTTCCGTTTTCATTCAGCTCAAAAGCCTTTTAAATCCCCTTCTGATGTCGTCTTCGTTTTAGAAGTTTGTTTACATGTGTTATGCTTGATCTCCAAATATTTGGGGATTTTCCTGATAGCACTCTGATTTCTAATTAATTTCTATTATGGTTAAAAAAATATAATTTGTAAAATTTCAACCCTTTAAAGTTTCCTGACACTTGTTTTATGGCACAAAGCACAGTCTATCTTGGTAAATGTTCTATATACATTGGAAAAAGGAATTTACACTGCTGCTGTTGGCTGGAGTGTTCCATAACTGACAGGACAAACTGGTTGGATACTATTTTCAAGGGTTCTAATAATCATTGAAAGAGAGATGTTGAAATCTCTGATTACAACTGTGGACTTATTTCTTCTTTTAGTTCTGTCAGCTTTTGCTTCATGCATTTTGAAGCTCCATAAGTAGGTGCACAGCCTTTAGAATTATCATACCTTCTTGGAAAACTGATCACTTCATTATTGTAAAGTAATACTCTTTATCCCTCTTAAGATTCTATAGTCTAAAAAATCTACTGTTTGATATTAATATAACCAATCCAGTATTCCTTTAATTTATAATAATACAGTATTTGTCTATTCTTTGACTTTTTTCTTGTGTCTTTATTTTTAAGGGGAGAACATAGAATTTTTATCCTTTCTAACAGTTTGATTTATTTTGTTTGGACTATTGACATTTAATGTGGTTTAAAAAATGTGTTGGTATTTAAAATTTCCATCTTGCTATTGTTTTCTACATACCCCATTGCTGGTTCTTTCTTATTTTGTGCTGTCTTATCTTTTGTTTTTATTTTGTAGAAGTTCTAAGGCTTACAATATATATGTTTACCTCATCACAGTCTACCTTCAAGTATTATACTACAAGTATTATCATACTACAGGATATAAGAACCTCACAAAAGCATACTTGCATCTACCCCTCCCCCATCTTAATCCTAGGTTTTACGAGTGTTATAAACCTGTAACTCCTTGTGGTTATTTTCCCCTTAAAAAGCTAAGTATATTGTAAAGAAATTTAAAAAGAAAAAAAACTAACTTTACCCATCTGTGTGCATGTGTGTATGCTCAGTTGTGTCCAACTCTCTGTGACCCTATGGGCGGTAGCCCACCAGGCTCCTCTGTCCATGGGATTCTCCAAGCAAGAATACTGGAGTGGGTTGCCATTTCCTCCTTCAGAGGATTTTCCTGACCCAGGGATCAAACTCTTGTCTCCTGCGACAGGAGGATTCTTTTACCATCGAGCCACCTGGGAAGCCATATTTACCATTTTATATAATCTTTATGTCATTGTATAAATCCCAATTTCCAGCTCATACCACTTTCTTGTGCATTATGGACTTTTAAAACTTCTGGCTTCTTGTATTTTCTGATTAATTTTTTGCTGACCTTCCTTCTTCCTCTGTATGCAATGTTTCTTTTTTCCTTGGCTGTTTTTAGTATTTTTCTCTTTATTACCGGTTTTAGGAAATTTTATGTTAATTGCCCTTGGAATGGTTTCCCTCTTCTCTTATTACTCCTCCTCCTTTTCCTTCTTGGGGTTCATAATGATTCTTTGATTTGCGAATTTAAATATCTCATTAATTTTATAAAAATTTTGACCACTATTCAAATATTTCTTCTATATCAGTCTACTCTCCTTCTGGGATCTTAATTACACTTGTGTTAGGTTGCTTGATGTTGTCAACAACTCACTGATTCTGTTTTCCTTTTCAGTTTTTTTCTCTCTCATTTTCATTTTGTATTGTTTTATTAGTATGTCTTCAAATCCAAAAATATTTTTTCTTCAGTGTCTTAGCTATTATCCCCATTCAGTATACTATTTTCATTTAGACATAGTATTATTTATGTATTCAACGTAGATTTTTTTTTATCCTTCTATGTCTTGCTCATGTTTTTGTCTGCATTTGGAACACATGAAAATATTTTAATTAGTGGTTTTAATGTTCTTATCTACTAATTCTCTCACTGATATCATTTCTTTGTCTGTTTGTATTGACTGATTTTTCTCTTGGTTATATACATTATATTTCTGGGACTAGAAGCTTTTAGTCCAGTTCTAAGTTGGTCTTATTTCTGAGCACACCACTCAATCCCCTGTATCTTACGAGATTCACTCTGGTTGGTGGGAACATAAACTTTATCTGGCTCTGCTGCTTTCTGTTGGTTATTTCTCTGGCCTTGGTAGTTTCATCATACATGTGGACTGTCAACTAAAGACTTCAGGGAAATCCTCCTGTATACTTCCATAATTTTCTATCTATGCAGTTCTCTCCTCTATAGTACTCTGTGCTATGAATGGTACATGGCTTGCTTCCCTGGTGGTTCAGGTTAAAGTGTCTGCCTGCAATGCGGGAGACCTGGGTTTGATGCCTGGGTCAGGAAGATCCCCTGGAGAAGGAAATGGCAACCCACTCCAGTATTCTTGCCTGGAGAATCCCATGGATGGGGGAGCCTGGTGGGCTACAGTCCACGGGGTGGCAGAGAGTTGGACACGACTGAGTGACTTCACTTCACTTACTGACCTCCTCAAATTCTGAATCCTGTCACTTTAACTCAGTGAAACTGCTGGATTTTGTTTTAATTTCTCTTTCCTGAACTTTTGTCTGGAGATTTTCTTCAGGAAGAAGATTGGGACAACTGTAGGCCTTGTTTCCCTTCACTTAGGGATGACCGTTCTGTGCTGCCTATTGTTCAGTGTCTAAAAAACCATTGTTTTACATATATTTTCCTGGTGTTTTAGTTGCTTAAGGTGAGAGGGTAAATTCCATTCTTGACTGGAAGCAGAAATTCAGCTATATCACTTTCAGTAACTTGTATTCTCATCTTACTATGTAGATAAGTTTGTGTGGAGAAGCATTAAATTTTTTCTTGCTTTTAGAAGACTTTCCTCAATCTTGAACTCAACGGCTAGGAATTAATAGCAGTCCAAAATGAATGAGCACATTAGATACCTTCAAGAAATAATGTTCAATCCAAATCTGTGTCTTCAAATTCCCATGGAAACTGTAATTAGCATATATGATTTCTTGACTAATAACCTTCTCTGAGCTTAAAAGGAGTGTGTATACTCACCTTTTTAAAAATTGCATCTTGTGATTAATTACACTATTTTGTGTGTGAACCAAAAGCTTACCATGTCATAGAAAACAAGATATTTTATTCTATATGAATAATTTTATTTTTCAAAATTACAAATTTTTTAAATGATGAAACTAATAGTGTATGTCAATTATATCTCAATAACATATGAAAAAAGATCTATTAATAGGTTCCCTTAATCTCAATTTTCCAAAAAAAATTTTGTATCTCTATGTATGAATTGTAACTTGATTTTAACTTGATAATGTGGTATCTTTTCATAATTAATATATGTAAAGCTTACACTTTTTTTTAAAATGAAAGGCTTTTTCAATGCTATAATGTTTTACAATTTTCAAATCATGTGAGTTTCACCCACATTTCATATAATTCCATAACAACCCTTTTGCCCCACCCTTGTATTCCCCTTCTCCTTCGGCTCCCCCCCTCACCGGTAACCACTAGTTTGTTCTTTTTATCTGTGAATCTGCTTCTTTTTTGTTTTATTCACTAGTTTGTTGTATTTTTTAGACTCTACATTTAAGTGACATCACAGTATTTGTCTTTCTCTGACTTATTACACTAAGAATAATGCTCTCCAAATCCATACATGTTGCTGCAAATGGGAGAATTCCATGTTTTTTATAATTGAGTAGCAATCCATTGCATGTATATGTGTGTATATACATATACACACCACATCTTCTTTATCCATTCAGCTATTGATGAACACCGAGCTTGCTTCCACTACACTTTCAATAGTTGCATTTTACTCCTTTTTCTAGATGGTGTGGTTTTATTGTAAAGATCTAGGGGTGACTTAAGACAACTGGCCCTACTTTTTAGTTTTTATTAGATGTGGGCTATAGATTTTTCTAAAACTAAAGTTGTCATATTCAATAAACATACCATACTTATATTTTCTTGCCAACAGTCATGATACATTAAGTCATACTGAGTCTTTAGATAAACATTTCCATGGCAATTTATTTGAAAGTGACCAAAAGTTGGTACAATCTGATGATGTTTCGTTGTTTTTTTTTTAATCCTACTCGACTAGACGAACATCTGGTTAACTATTGCTATATGCCTGTTTTACAATTTCAGGCCAAAAATAATAATAATAAAATTTCAGGCCAATATTATTATAGCATTTCATAATCATGTAAACTACAGACTGCTCAGAGCTCACAGTTCAACTGGAAGAGGGTGTCCTTCATCACACTTTGATTTCACATATCCATTTTCTAAATTCTCATTTAGCATCTGCATCTCTCATTAGGGTTTTCAATGATGTATGGTTTTATTGTTAACCAACACTTTCATGTTTATCTTTCAGTTCCCCAAGGAGACTGTAATCTCTGAGGTATGGGAGATCAGGTACCATCAATTGTGGTTTCCCCAAGGAATCTGCCTCTTTGTGAAAGCTGAACAATCATCTTCAAGACTTGCAAAGAGCTGCAGTGAACTTTCTTGAAACTGGGTATATAACTCAGTGATGCAAAGACTCATAGCTTAATATATTTCTTTCTTAGCAAGAATTCTTACTACTAATAAGTGGACTGGGTAAGGGCAATTGTGTTACTGTGAGGGCAATTTGTGTTACAGTGGAGAGAAAGAATTGGTTAAGTGCTTTATTATGCTCTGTGTGTTTTTTTTTTTTAATAAATTAAGTGTCTTTCAAGCATGACATCTTGTCAAATTAAAAACTCCTCTTGGTTGTTGCTGGCAGTGTAGGTTGACTTTATCCTAACACAAAGAGTTCTTTGGCATCACATCTGGATGCCTTCTATTCTTTTCACCATAAGTCAGTTTTTCCTACTTATTTCTTCAGAGTAAACCAAGGAATTTGAGCTGTCACTGCAACATTACCCAATGGTGATATTATACATTTGCCAACTAAATAAAGATTTTTCCTATAAAATTTCTTGAAAAAGCCACCTAGACACAGTAAACCTTTTTAAATTTACCAATAAACAAAATACCTATTTAATAAACTATCTTGAATTCAAATTCAGGATTCTATGAAAAATATAATCTGCCAGTGGGTTACAGAAGAGGAGCTTTTATCTTGTACAATATACAGGAATTTTCGACCAAAACTCCATTCAGCAATAGTTAATTTGAACACTTCTCATCAACTCTGAAACTGTACCAAATCTTACTTTGAATTCCTATTTCCAATCTCTACTAGATTTTGAGAAGCTAATGGAAAACAAAATAGGTATTGGTCTGGTTAAAAAAAGATACTCGGGCTTAAAAATGGAAGGATCTGTCCACTTGTTGAAGATGTTAGGCACTCCAAGTAATTACTAAAAAAGATAATTGACAATTAGATCCAAAAGACCTTAAAGATTATCCATTCATGTAATTTGTTTTACAGATCAGAAAACAAATTTTAATAATGTATTAGAGACCACAAAACCAATCAGTTGCAGAGCCTAATTTTTTGTTTTTAGCTCAGTGCTCTTTTAATGTAGTTTTGACTTGGAACAAGAAAAAGGAGAAAGGTAAAAAGCTGCAAAATCCTAGGAGGAAAGAGATTTTCCCTATTCTTTACCTTCTTTTGTCCCTAGAGATTTAAGTAAGTGCTAAGTCCCAGGTGAGTAACTGAGACCTTTACTGTGTGAGACCTTTTTGAAAATTTGGGGAACTAAAGGGGTTCTAACACCTATATAAAAATCTTAACTCTATCACATATTTTTGGGTCTCTGTCAATCCATTCTTCTATCAACTATTAGATCAAAAAAAGACCTTAGGCACTATCTTGTGCATTTGCTTCATCAAAAAAAAAAAAAAAAAGAGAGAGAGAGAGAGAGAGAGAGGGGCTCAGAAACAAATAGAAATTGATAGTTGACAATACCCCTGGGAAAAAACTGGTATTATCTTTCTTTAGAGAAAGCAGTGTAGTCAGAAAGGAAACAGTGAATTCCTGAAACAAGATATCAAGTATCCTAACACAGGATAATAAAATTGTGACTTCTCTTTTTTCAACACTAAGACATTTCAGGCTATGTTGTATACCACATCACACACGAATATTTACACACGTATGAACAGGAGGCTGACATAAGAAAATGGCCCTCTCACAGCACTGGACCACCCTCTCTCTGAATTATGAGAAGCTAAATACTTATATTTCACAACTTCCTTCTTTAAGCAGCTGTCACCCAAGGCTACTTTATTGAGATTAAAAATAACGTAATCTCGTTTTGAAAGTCATAGGATGCTTACTTAATCCTGAAATGGAACAATTCTTCTCCATTCTTGTTTCAAGTGATAATCGTTGCTTACCCACATACCTAGGCGGCTGTGGAGGCTCCTTCCAGTCACTGGGTATGAGGTTATAAATGCTCTCAGAAGGGCCCGTTGGATCCATGGCCACCATATGAGTCCTGAAAACTACTTAGCTTTTTTCTCACTATAGCAGTATCTCCATCCCTTTCTTCACAGCTTGTCCTTTCCTCTCCTACCCTCTTGCCTTCTCAAGGAACTAACGTTTCTTTCACGCAATTCCCCCGTGGCCTCTTCTTCGCGTCCTCTCTCGGCAAGAAAGTAAAATACCCCTTCTACAACTCTTGGGCTCGTCTAGCGTTTTTGACGGAACGACTGCCGTGGAAACAGTAACTAGGCAACGAGAAGGTGGCGTCGCAATCTAGTTTTCCAAACTTTCCTCTTGCAAAGGCTCCTTTTCTGTCAGAGAAGCTCAACGTGAAAACCACAGTTTATATGTACCTTTGGGAGTAAAGGGGTGGAAAATGGAGTCCTCTTAAAAATGTTGCTCTTTTCTCTGTGTATTTGGGAAAAAAACATAAATTCTACCACAGACAGACTGGAAACCGTGCCGCTGTGCAGGCGTCACACGATACTCTCATCCACAGGCGTCAACCCTAGGGGGCGGGGCGAGCGACTGAGGCCACGCTGACGCACGTCCCACGTGAAGGATAGGACGAGGGAGGGCGGGGCCTAGGATCGAGTGGGTGAGGCGCAGGACGAGTCGGTTACCAGGTACTGGGCAGCTCGGCGGTGGGCGTGGCGCGCGAACGGGGGAGGCCAGCCCTTGCGCAGGCGCAGAGGCCGCTGCGCGGGGTGGGGAGAGGTGGACCTAGCGAGGCCTGGGTCTTGGGCTGTGGGCCAGCAGGGGCAGGAGTCCGAGGTGCGGGACTTTGTCCCGAGGCGGCGCTGACGGCTCCCGGAAGCTCTTTCCCATTTCCTTTCCTTTCCCCCCGTCTTCTCAGTGTGATTTCCTTGGTGAGTTATTTGAGGAGAAAGGGAAACTGTAGAATCAGTCCGTTCCCATCGCATGCCCTTTTCCGGTCCGTGTCTTCCCCTGTACGCTGCTGGGCGGTGATCCCAGCAATCTGGCCGCGCCCGCCTTCCCGGCCGCTTGCGTCTCGCGCTCAGCTGTGCGGCCACCTGTGCGTGCGCTCAGGACCGCTCCCCTCGTCCTCCCCTCGGCCACCTGTCTCCCTTACTCTCGCGCCTCGCTCCTTCTCCCCCTGTTTACCTCTATCGGGCCCCTCCTCTTATAGGGCTTGACTTTGTTTTCTAAGCAAGCAGCCTAAACCAGAAGAATCCTTTTAAACAGGCCTTTGAATTTTATGCTCCTCCCATTTTTCTGGCGTTCCTTTTTGAAAATAGTCTTGGGAGCCGTTTTATTCCGTTCGATCCGTGTGGTCTTCCATGAACTTACTGATTCCCATATTGACTGCGGAAAGACTCTCATTTAGAAGCCTTTGCCATCCAGAGGCTCTGAAAGACATTTTGGCAGTATGGTTCTGACCAACCTTATAGAAGCCATTCTGCCCAAAAGGAGTAAGGATGCTTGAAGACAGGAGGCCAGTTTTGGGCCTGTCACTGCCAGGGTGTCCGGTGGTGCAGACAAAGCAGCATGGTAGCTTTGTTGACTTAAAAGAGTTTATAGGCTCTGCCTTCTGAGATGATCCATGCTCTGTGGAGTTTGTTTCTCACTAAATAAATCCAGTTCTTACCTAAAACAAAGTTTGCTGAATGTGTAGGTGCTTATCCTCTTGGGCTCTTGGTGAATTTCAGATGATAAGAATAAACTTAGTTTTTTCTTATCCAGTTGATCAGGTTTCTATTTTTTCATCCCAGGCGTTTAACAGATTTTATTTCAGATGAATGGCACCTTGGGGTTGATGGTTCTGTTCTTCACATCAGATTTTCTGTTTACAAAATACTTGTATGTATATGCTACTTTGCCCTTTTTCTTTCCACTTTGAGTATTTCATGTTTTTGGTTATTTTTGCTTAGCTTGTGTAGAGAATAATTCTGTTCTCTATATGTGCTAAGGTTTGAACTGAGGACTTGAAATGATAATAGTTAGCCAAATGTACAGTCCTTGGCCAGAGTTTATAACATGTCTAATTAGACATTAAGGACTCTTTATGTTTATCAGTTCCTAAAAGAGCCAATAAGGGCAAACTAGATTTCTCTAGTTAGTAAGTACCCACTGACCTCAGCTAGTCTTGACTTTCTGCTGTTACTGAATACAGTAATTTCACTGATGTCAGTATATTTATTATGGTTTTAAAAATACTGAACAGAATTTAAAGTCTCACTGTAGTGTATTTAGTATACAGTCTTAGTGAAGTTGTTAAATCATTTGGAAAGGAACTTTTTTCCCCTTTAGGTATTTATCTGTAATTCTTGGCTTTTGAAAGCATGTTTACGAAGAGTATGTTTCTGATTTTTTATAATTCACTCAAAATGTCAGTCCTGTTCAAGGAAATGCCTATGTTCAGTATGTCCACAGAGAATTAGTACTGGTATGCCATCAGAGGTAGTGAACCTTTTCTGTAAATGGCTAGATAATAGATATTTTAGGGCTTGGCAGGCCAGATGTATTCTTTTGAAACTACTCAAGTACTACCATTATAGCTCCAAAGCAACCAAAGACAATACTTAAGAAATGGGGAAAAAAAAAATGAATGAGCAAAGTTTTTTTCCCATGAAACGTAATTTACAAAAACAGGAGTGAGCTACAGTTGGCCTGTGGGTTGTAGTTTTCATAGACACCTTATATGAATGGTTGTACATACTAATTAGCTTTTTGTTTTTTTTAAATTAAGGATTATTTCAGTCTACTTAGATGAATAAAATGGTCAGAGATGGGAGTAGAAATAGGACAACTGGGAAGAAAATAAGACATAAAAAAAGACATAAAAAATAAGACATAAAAAAATAAGAAAATAAGACATAGTCTTTACAATATTTTTCTAAGTTATAGAATTACAAAGAGTACTTAATCATTTTAATTAGATACTCAAGACCTTTAAGAGAATATTTAATAGCAAAAGACTAACAACAGAAAAGGCTTAGTTGGCTTTGATTCTAAGATAAAGGCAAAGATGAGAGGTGAATTTGGAAAATGCTTTGATTGTAAGATCCCTGTGATTACCATGTGGCACTGAAGTGTGGGCCTTCCACCACGCTGTTTCAGTCAGCTAATTAACTGGAGGGCTTGTTTAGAGGATTTTTACGTATTAAAAGCAAACCTTCTAACCTTCTGGTTAGTTTATATCCTAGTATATTTGCATTTTTTCTTATTACTTATGGGAAAACAACATTGCTGTGAAAATGCAGCAATTTTTAAGAATATTTTAAAACTTTAGAATATCTTCATAAAATAGTGGACTAGATTTAGTCATTCTTAGAAATTTAAATAGAGATTGTATTAAAACAGGATGACAAGGATAATCATTGCACAAATATTTTCAAAAGTTCATTGAACTTCTCATCATGAAATAATTTTTGAAGTACTGTGTCCTATTGGGAGAGTAATAGCAAATATTGTAAATGGGTGATAAATGCTGAATCATTTTCACTAAGTAGATTTTGAAAGTTTACCGTTAGTATTGAAAACTAGGTAATTTTATAATGGAACTGAAATTTTCTGGACTATTTTGGAAGTAAAAATTGATGTGCTTATAATTTCAATTATCAATCATCTAGTGTAAGCATAGGAAAATATCACTGTGAATACTTTGCTAAAAGGTAATATGTATTTCTGGTTTAAAAATGTAACTTTGTTAGTATTCTTAGAAAATAATTTTAAAATGTGTTAAAAAGTGGTTTCTGTACTTTCTTTCCCTTGAAGTCTATATTCAGTTTTGATTAGCTTGCCACAGTAAAATTGTTAAAGTTCATACCTTGAGGTCACACAGTATTTAATATGTACATGTGGACATTCTGTTTCTGTTTTTTAAAGTTCTTGCTGTGATACACATCACTACCTTTTCATTTGTCTCTGACAAGGTCTTTTATGTCTAAGAATTATCTACTGGAACTAGTGGATCAAAAAACTACACTGTAAGCGACTAGTAAGAAAACCTGTTTAAAAATTATTAATGTGTAATGGAGTGGTATACATCTTCCATCCCCTGAGGAATTAGAGTTTACTAAAATACTTTTGTGTAGAACTTGGCTCTACATCAATTATTTGCAAACATCAATGATTGAGTAAAGCCTTAGTACTTTAAGGTCGAGAGATTTGGTCTTTAAGTACTGGTTTTGTTTCTTGACTCTTACGTAATTGACTCCCATTGTAATTTGAAATAGTTCTGTTCTTGGGCTGAAGAAAAATTGCCTATTCATGACCCCTTTACTGAAAAGCATATTAAAATATAAGTAAATGAAAAACACCTAATAATATGGCTTTGAATCATAAAGGAAAATGATTTGCAGTCGGTCCTCACTTTTCACAAGTTCTCTATTTGTGAATTCTACTTGCTCAAGTTTATTTATAACCCCAAATTAATGCTCACAGCACTTCTGCAGTCACTCATGGCCACATGCACAGTGGTGAAAAATTTGAGTCAGGAGATATGCATGTTTCAAGTTGGGGTCAGGTAAGGTGATGCTCTGCCTTCTTGTTTCAGCTTCTGCTGCAAACAAGGGTCTTTTCTGAATTCTATTTATGTGCCACATTTTTTGCATTTTTGTGCTTCCAGTTGCTGGTTTTCTTGTCTAAAATGGCCCCCAAGCAGACTGCTGAAGTGCTGCCTTGTGTTCCTAAGGCAGTGAGGCCACCAGGTGCCTTACAGAGAAAATGTGTGCGTTAGATAAGTTTCCCTCAGGCATGTATTAAAGTCTGAGTTCAGTGGTAATGAATCATTATGTATACATTAAATAAGATGTCTGTAAGCAGAAACACACATAAAACATTATGTATTGATCAGTTGGCAAAAATATTGTAACCAGAGGCTCACAAGAACCTAGGAACAGTGTGTGTTTCTCCCAGAAGCAATGGTTCAGTATTCACTAATTCGTATTCATGGTGACTTGATAGACTTAACTACCATGAATAATGAGAACTGACTGTATTACCTCTTAAGTAAAAATTCAGTTTCCAGATAAATATTATATGCCATGGGCATTATTCCATCTTCTCTTGCCATTTGGTTTGCCTACAGTGGATGTTGAAACCCTAAAGTTAGTTTGTGGCTGCATGTTACAAAACAAAATTTAGTATGTAACTTCTTTAATTTTCTTTAAAATGATAATATTTGTTACATGTTAAAGCACTTTATAAGCTAGTGTCAGGAAGATTTTTATGGTGAAATAATATTGATACTGAATTGATAAATTGAACTGTCACAATTTTCTACTTTGAATTCGTATAAAACAAAGGAAGAGTAAGGTTACAAAGGATAAGGTGAAGTTAACGTGCATTAACACTTGTCTTTTGCTTTTAATGGAGTTGGTGTTAAGCATTGTAGCAACCAACCTAAAGTGGAAAAGATCAGATAAAAAATTTAGTGTCCATAAAAACAAACCAGCTACTCAGGTAATACACAATTATTACCAATACATATATCAGAAATTTCTGCATTGGGAACTAAAAGAGATGATACTCTGTGATACTATAAGCAAAAGCTACCTGAATAGGAGATTAAGCAGGCTGCTTAATACAGTGTCCTCAAAATAATTAGTGTTAAAGAATTGTACCAAAATAAAAGTAGTTTAAGAAAAGAAATTGCTGATGGGGTTCAAGTGTATAGTTCTCTGACCCTTCGTTTACTTCAGGGAAAGGATTAACCTGCGCACAACATGTATGAGCGCCCCTTGTTTTCTCTGAAGGTTTGTAAACAAGGGCTTCCCTGGTGGCTCAGAGGGTAAAGAATCTACTTCCAATGCAAGAGACCTGGGTTCAATCCCTGGGTTAGGAAGTTCCCCTGGAGAAGGGAATGGCTACCCACTTCAGTATTCTTCCCTGAAGAATTCATGGACAGAGGAGCCTGGCGGTCTACAGTCCATAGAGTCGCAAAGAGCCAGACACAACTGAGTGACTAACACAGACTGACACTAGCCCCTTGTTTTCTCTGAAGGTTTATAAACAAACCAAACTATTTTAAAAACAAAAAAAAAGGCCTAGTTTTGTGCCTACATATTCTGATTCAATTTATATGTTTTTAGTCTTTTAGCACTGAATGACAGTGGTTAATATTACTATATAAGTGAATATTCTTATGTGCCCATCACCGCGCTATATGGTTTGAATTTATTATAAATCATTTAAATAGCCAAGAGGTACCCATGTGTGGCAGACACTTTGTTTGCACTTTTTATAGGTGATATTACATATAAATCATGATTCAGATGGATAAACAACCTAAAAGAGTAATTCAGATACTTATACTTTTCAGTCCACTGATTTCTTTCCATCTGATCACTGAATGTACAGTTAAATCATTAAAATTTTAGGTGTCATTGTGTAAACTTATATTTATCCTTTTGTTATAGTATCTTGTATATTGATGGCAGAAATTCAGTACTGTTTAGTAAAATTCTTTCTTATCATAAGATACACATATTGGAAAATAGTATCTTAATCTTTCAATAATAGCTTTAGAGAACCATGAAAAGGGTCAGTTTATTATTTTTCTATACTTAAAAAATTCCAATTGGACATTTTAACAATAGGCTGTATGTGGAATTTTATGATATGATATGCAGTTATGATTAACTTCAAATTTTTTCCATTATAGACTCTACTTTTTGCAGACTGAATTTACCTCAGCATCCACAAACTCTTCACCTCAGATTGGTTCCTGTGTGTTTTCTGTTTGCAAGTCAGTGGGAGTTAAGCATATACCAGCTGAAAAGCCAGATAAGGAAATGCATTCTTTCTCCCAGCAGTTCTGAGTTAACTTGTAAGTTAAATTCAGTGTAAGCTGAAAATGGTTTAAATGTTTTGTTAGAGAACACAGTTTGAGGAGCATGAATGATCACAGTAGTAAATAACGGAAAGTTTTCAGAACATGTCTAAACACACCATCTAACGTTTAATACGGCTTAGTTGCCTATTGGTTGTACCACGGAATATGTGGAAAGTCTCACTACATGCCTGTAAAGTTACTCTAGTCACTTTAAATAAATATCGTAGCAGTTATTAAATTGTACTTTACATATGACTAAACATCTCACCTGTCTGGCAAACATCTGGTGTTGTAATGGTGAGTGTATTTCCAAAGACAGGAATTGACCAGTATGGGGAATTACAGGGCTTCTCCAGATGCCAGCATGAGTTTGTCCACTTATCAATGGAAACATTCCTGAGTTGTTTTGCTGTCACTCTGGAGTCTGGGATTTGAGTTGTGTCTCCACTGGTGATGTTTATAGGATAGAAATGAAAGTGATGGTCTGAGTCAAAGAAAGTTATAAGTCTGTAGCCTTTGAGTTTGCTGTCGATTATCCATTTTCCTTAAGTATTTACATAATGTTATATCTTTCACTAGCTTTTTTTTTTAAGCTAGTTGGGAAACATGAAAAACATATAAGAATGATTTTTAACAGTATGCATGTAAAAGACATGTAAGAAAGAAAAGGTCATACCTTTGTTCTATAGTTTGGAAAATTATTTAAGCATTGTATAAGCAGATATTTTATTCTGGTTTGTTGTGAATTCTTTGACTAAGAAAATTGTGAGTAACATGATAGTCTATCAACATGTTCATATAACTAATGAGAAATATGGAGATTATTCAGCTTTTTGAATTGCAAGTATATAGCATTCCAACTCCAAGTAATCCTTATTTACTTGGGTTACGAACCATGAGACAATTTTCATTATAGGAAAAGAAATAGTAATTTGATTTAGTATCTTTTTAAAAAAAGTATCTGTGATACAACATTTTTGGAATGAAGTTTCTGTTGCTCATAGTTACAAATTGTTAAAGTTTTGATTAGTCATTGTCTTAAGGCTTGAAAAGATTACTAAAAAGTTAATATGCAATATGTGAGAATTTAGGTTTGGATAATTTTTTAAATGCCATATAAAATTCAGAAGAATTTTAAGTTTATGTACTGTGGGCATGATTCTACTTAATCCTATTGGTATGTTAAGCCTATTGAAATTAGTAACCAAATGTCTTTCCTTGTCTTTATGTTTTGAAAAGGGTCAAAGCCAGTTTTTCTGTTGGCTTGGGCAGCAAAGTGAAAAGAGAATGCTCCACTTGAAGCAATGTCAGCATCTGAAACAGATAACTCAGAAATGCTTGTCTCGCATCCATGTGAAAACAGGTAAATATCCACAGCTATTTCTTTCAAGAACCTTTGCGCTTGCGGAATTAAGGAAGTCATGGCATTCCATCTACTCACTTGTTGGAGACAAAAATATTATCCTGATGGGACCTCCCGGTGCTGGGAAAACAACAGTAGGCAGAATAATAGGCCAGAAACTGGGTTGTTGTGTCATCGATGTGGATGATGATATCCTTGAAAAAACCTGGAATATGAGTGTGTCTGAAAAATTGCAGGATGTTGGTAATGAGCAATTTTTAGAAGAGGAAGGAAAAGCCGTGTTAAACTTCTCTGCATCTGGAAGTGTGATTTCCCTTACTGGGTCCAACCCAATGCATGATGCTAGCATGTGGCATCTAAAGAAAAATGGAATAATTGTTTATCTGGATGTACCTCTACTAGATATAGTCAGTCGTCTAAAATTAATGAAAACAGATAGGATTGTAGGTCAGAATTCTGGAACCTCTGTGAAAGACTTACTTAAATTTAGAAGACAGTACTATAAGAAGTGGTATGATACTCGTGTTTTTTGTGAAAGTGGGGCTTCCCCAGAGGAGGTAGCCAACAAAGTGCTGAGTGCAGTTAAAAGATACCAAGATGTGGATTCAGAAACATTCATTTCCACAAGACACATTTGGCCTAAAGACTGTGAACAGAAAGCTCCAATGAAATTCTTTAGTGAAGCTGTGATTGAGGGGTTAGCTTCTGATGGTGGACTTTTTGTTCCTGAAAAGGAGTTTCCAAAGTTAAACTGTGGGGAGTGGAAAAGCCTGGTAGGAGCAACATACATAGAAAGAGCACAGATACTTCTGGAAAAATGTATACATCCTGCTGACATACCTGCTGCCAGGCTGGGAGAAATGATTGAAACTGCTTACGGGGAAAACTTTGCCTGCTCAAAAATCGCCCCTGTCAGGCACCTGTCAGGCAACCAGTTCATCCTGGAGTTATTTCATGGACCAACAGGATCATTTAAAGACCTGTCTTTACAGCTCATGCCCCATCTTTTTGCACACTGTATTCCACCAAGTTGCAATTTTATGATACTTGTAGCCACCTCAGGAGACACTGGAAGTGCAGTCTTAAATGGCTTTAGTCGTCTTAATAAGAATGACAAGCAGAGAATAGCCGTGGCCACATTTTTTCCTGAAGACGGAGTCAGTGATTTTCAAAAAGCACAAATAATTGGCAGTCAGAACGAAAATGGATGGGCAGTAGGTGTCAAATCAGATTTTGATTTCTGCCAGACGTCTATAAAAAGAATTTTTCAAGATTCTGATTTTACTGGCTTTCTTGCTGTGGAATATGGAACCGTCTTAAGTTCAGCTAATTCCATAAACTGGGGCCGACTGCTTCCCCAAGTAGTTTATCATGCTTCTGCATACCTTGATCTCGTTAGCCAAGGATTTATTTCTTTTGGAAGCCCAGTTGATGTGTGTATTCCCACAGGAAACTTTGGTAACATTTTAGCAGCAGTGTATGCCAAAACCATGGGAGTCCCTATTCGAAAATTTATCTGTGCTTCTAATCAGAACCATGTTTTGACTGATTTTATAAAAACAGGACATTATGATATAAGGGAAAGAAAACTAGCACAGACCTTTTCACCAGCAATTGATATCCTCAAATCTTCAAACCTGGAGCGACATTTACACCTGATGGCTAATAGAGATGGACAGTTAATGAGAAGACTGTTTAATCAACTAGAAGAGGAGCATCACTTCCAGATAGAGAAGATCCTAGTTGAGAAACTTCAGCAGGATTTCGTGGCTGACTGGTGCTCTGAGGGAGAGTGCCTGGCAGCGATTCACTCCACCTACAACACTTCGGGGTACATTTTGGACCCACACACTGCTATTGCGAAAGTAGTTGCGGACAGAATGCAAGACAAAACTTGCCCAGTGATCGTCTCCTCTACAGCTCATTACTCCAAGTTTGCACCTGCTATCATGCAGGCTTTAAAGATTGGAGAAATCAACCAGACTTCATCAAGTCAGGTTTACTTACTAAGTTCATACAATGCCTTACCTCCACCACATGAGGCTTTACTAGAGAGAACAAAACAGCAGGGGAAGGTGGAGCACCAGGTCTGTGCAGCTGATGTGAATGTCCTGAAGAATCACGTGGAAAAACTTGTACAAAATCAATTCATATGAAAGTTTTCTGAGTAAAAGAAAAATTCTGGTGAAAAGCATGCAGTAATAAATCACAAAAGTTGATTTTGAGTACAAATAACATTTTGTTTTTTATGTAAATATGTCTATACATAGATGTTATCTTTTGGAATTTCAGTAGCGTCGTCTCTAGGTCTGTCCATTGTCCCTACACATGCTCCTTGGATCCTTAATCTAGAAGTGACAGAAAGTAGCATAATGCATGGACCCTTGTGCTGTGTTCTGCACCCATGAGGGATATATCAGTTTCTCCTCCTTCACCCCCACTTTTAAATGGACCAAAATGTCTCCTACTCTGACACTTAAAATATTTCAGCATAGCTGTAACATAGTCTATCTGTAACCATTATTAGTTCTTTATTGACTAGAAAGATAATTTACACTCTAATGGTTAACTTATTTGGAAGAAGTAGTAAGCTCATCTATTAAGAAATGGCTGGCATTTTTTACTCTCCTCAGATTCCATTTTGGACTATAGTTAATTAAGTGGATCCTACACCATCTGGATTAGATAAGTGTTCAGCTTTCACTCCCCTTGGGGTGTGTATAGTTAAGGTGATGTAGTTTGAAAATCAAGACCCCCCCCAAAAAAAAATCAAGACCCAAGATTTAAATCTGATGTGATCATCAACAGAACTACCTAGTAGTAGATATAGAAATAAAATTACATATCTGTTTCAAGAGAAAAGCTTTCCAAACTTCGGAGTATTTGAATAGTCTTAAGAGAAGTATGGTTATAGTTATAGCAGTTTTCTTGTATTATTTGGACTCTATTCCTATATAATTTGTCTGTTGTCTTTTTTTTTTCAGTGAACATTGCCTTTTGGCAGCTAAAACCACATGCAATTGATGCACATATTTAGTGTTTCCTTTGTAGTAGCAATACATTATAATCATGATTTCCATTTGTGAATTTCTTGGATGTTTTATTTCTGAATTAAAAGATTGTCATTGAAAGGACCTGTTAATGTAATGGACTACTCTCAACCACAAGATGGCATTCCTAACATAATTTGTCTTTGCTGATAACATTCTGCTTCATTTTCTGGGAGAACTGTCTCCATAAAGAAACATGTTGCAGGTTGTCAAGAAAAAAATTGTAAAAGTTTAATGAGCAGAAATGATTCATTTAAAAATTTAAAAAATTAAACCAACTATATTAACTTTGGATCTCCAGCTTCTAAAAAGTACATTCTAAAACCAAAACTTGAAAACCAAGAGCAGTTACAAGAAAATAATGGAGGATTCAAAGTTCACTTACTCCTGTATGTCTTAGTTATTTTATCATATTTTTTTAAGGATAAGTGTTTCAGTAGCCAATATGTTTAGAAAATACATGTAAATTTTCCTATGTGTATGAAAATGCACTATTTTTCTGAAAGTGGGAGGGACAGTTTTGTTTTTAAAAGACATGATTTTTGCCCACATGATTGTAGTGAAGGAGACAATGTGTAAAATTGAATCAGGTTCAACATAGAAGTTATTGCAAGACAGTTCATGAGAAAGTAAAAAGTAAGGGATATAGTTAAGAGCTGTCAGATTACCATGGGCCAATCAGAAAAGGCGTCACAGAAGACACAAGCTGCAGTGAGTCCTGAAGGATGTCAAGATTTTCTAGGTGAAAAGGAAGGGGAAGTACATTATAGGCAGACAAGGGAAATAGTTACAGTGAGTTGCTCAAGAGAGCACATTCCTTTATCTCCAGTTGGTTGGTTCTCTTATTTCATGTTTTCACTTTTTCTTAATACCAAGTCTAGCCCTTCCCTCTCAGCTAATGACCTTGCCTCAGTCAAGAGGAAATAAGCCATCAGTGAAGACATGGCTTCCTATCACCAAGTGTCTGAAACTGCTGTGCCTGTTTGTCTCCTCTCCTGCTCCCCCTGGATTGAATTGGGTGATATTCCTTCAGGAATGTCTTGGCTTCTGTTCCTGGCAGAATACTCCTGTCACTTGCTTCATCAGCTATCTCCTCTAGTGCTGCTTCAGCTTCTCCCCTCTGATGGGACCATCCTTTCTATACCATTCGGATGCTCTCTTTTCACATCTTAGAAAGTGTAAGAGCAAAACAAGTCAACAGCCACATTCCCCCACCATCTACTTTTTAACTTACGTTCCATTCAAGACCCAGCCTCTTCGAAAAGAGTTGTCTACCCGTGTCGTCTCCACTTTCTTGCCTCTTATGTTCTCCAGAATGTGTAAAGTACATGTACTGTTCAGGGAGGAGTATTAGAACACATATGTGCTGCTCCCCACTTTGCTTTAAGAGTGAAACATACCTCGTGTTTGACACCTCCTGTGGCTCCTATTTGATTATCTTCGCTTCTCTCCCTCAGAAGTAACCACTATCCTAAATTTTCTCTTTATGATTTCCTTGTTTGTATGTACAGTTTTGCCTCTTTTTAAATTTTATGTAAATGGAATCATACTATACATATTATTCCATGACTCTCTTTTATTCAATAGTTTTGAAATTTAACCATGCAGATGACAGAAGGCAGAGTTCATTAATTTTAATTACTGTATAATCTATAGAATGAATGCCACAGTCTATCCATTTATGTTAGTGGACATTTAAATGGTCTAATATTTATCTGTACTTGCATCCAATAGGTATACTGTTTCATAAAATTTGTATTGAAGGCTAGTGAAAATGAACTTCCAAACATCTGTGATTCTTTCTAATGGTATATCAAAATGTATTTCATATCTTAGCTGTATTAAAATAAAAATGTGTGGTTTGTTTATAATATGAAAAATTATCAGTTCTTGAGCAATGGTTATAATTTCTTGCTTCTCCAATCTTTGAAATTATTTTACAGTGTCAAAAATATGGTGAATTTGTAAGATTTTTAATTGGATATCAGTGAAAATAGTAAAAATTTTTTTCATCAAAATAGAGTTTAGGAGGTAATAAATTGTTCTGTTTGAAGTTTTTGTTAGATTTTAATAGCAATTCACTTCCAAAAATGATAATGGCAAATACTGTTTCTCTCAATCCATTAGATCATTTAAACATTTTGTAATTCAGACTACTTAAAACATTAAGAAAAAAAGTAGCTGTTTTCACATGAGCCTCAAACTCATGGGAACATAAATAATAGAGTTTTGTGTAGGAAGATGATTAAAGCCTGATGATTAAAACCTGTGTGTGAAATAGTTATTGGTGTGGGCCCTGCCTGTGTACTCCAGCCACTCTTTGAAACTTTAAAAACTTAAAAAACAAACAGCCTCCTTTGAAATCAGAGGTAGAATAAGCTCCTCTGGTTCAAAGAAAGCAAAGTCAAGCAAATTGTTGTGTTATGGAGAAGGGACCTGTCAAACACAGGAAACCAAACCAACATCATGTACAGCAGTTCTCTACTCAGTTGGCAAGATTTAGACCAGAGGCCTGTATCAAAAAGTTGTTTGCTTCCTACAGAAGGTGTATTACTCAGTTCAGCTATTTTTCTATCCAAACTCTTTATTGCTTGCTGTCTGAATTCTTGGGTCTTTATTTCAGTGGTGGTAACAGTTGTCTTGAGCTGAGGTTCCATGTTTAGATGTGGCGCTACTTGTTCAGTTATTATCATAGACTTTATTGGGCCTATACAATGCAGGTTGCGAATGGCACGTTTAGTTTCACTTACAAATATTAGGCGGGTTTATAATTTTAAGTTACTTAAATCCACAAGGGGCTATTTTAAATCAATTTTTATATTTGGTGATGGAGCCCTGAAATTATTTGTTTTGAATTTTATTTACAAGGCTCAAATCAAATAGTTGAAGTTTTCAGAAAATAATTTTACTTGCTCTTGATGCTACCTTTTTTCTTGAACTCTCTCCAATCTGAGATTTTAAATATAATTGGCTGACATAATATTAGGAAAAGGAGTACATCAAAGGCTGTATGTTGTCACCCTGCTTACTTAACTTATATGCAGAGTACATCATGAGAAACACTGGGCTGGAAGGAGCACAAGCTGGAATCAAGATTGCCAGGATAAATATCAATAACCTCAGATATGCAGATGATACCACCCTTATGGCAGAAAGTGAAGAAGAACTAAAGAGCCTCTTGATGAAAGTGAAAGAGGAGAGTTAAAAAGTTGGCTTAAAACTCAACATTCAGAAAACTAAGATCATGGCATCTGGTCCCATCACTTTATGGCAAATAGATGGGGAAACAGTGGACACAGTGGCAGACTTTTATTTTTCTGGGCTCCAAAATCAGAGCAGATGGGATTGCAGCCATGAAATTAAAAGACGTTTACTCCTTGGAAGGAAAGTTATGATCAACCTAGACAGCATATTAAAAAGCAGAGACATTACTTTGTCAACAAAGGTCCATCTAGTCAAGGCTATGGTTTTTCCAGTAGTCATGTATGGATGTGAGAGTTGGACTATAAGGAAAGTTAAGTGCCGAAGAATTGATGCTTTTGAACTGTGGTGTTGGAGAAGACTCTTGAGAGTCCCTTGGACTGCAAGGAGACCCAACCAGTCCATCCTAAAGGAGATCAGTCCTGGGTATTCATTGGAAGGACTGATGTTGAAGCTGAAACTCCAAATACTTGGGTCACCTGATGCGAAGAGCTGACTCATTTGAAAAGACCCTGATGCTGGGAAAGATTGAGGACAGGAGGAGAAGGGGATGACAGAACATGAGATGGTTGGATGGCATCACCGACTCAATGGACATGAGTTTGGGTGAACTCTGGGAGTTGGTCATGGACAGGGAGGCCTGGCATGCTATGGTTCATGGAGTAGCAAAGAGCTGGACACAACTGAGTGACTGAACTGACTGACTGACATAATATTTAAACAACTGCCAAATCAAGATGGGTCATTACCAGAAAATACATCATTTCTTGTAAATTTCACATCTGTGTAGGGTTCTTCTCTATTAAAGTCATGTAATTTAACCCTAAAAGATCTGAATAGCGTATTTATTCACAGTATTCTGTATATTTTCCAGAAAAAGAGTCATCAGGTCAAAAGGTATCCCCTTTTCCCTTCAGTGTTGTAGCCTACTATGAAGAAATACAGAACATCTTTCTCTTGAGAAAAGTTGAGTATAACTATTTTACTGGCAGCAGAAAGAAGGAAAATATTAGCTTAAATTGGGTCAAGAGGATAAAATTTCTACTGGCCAAAAGTCATAACAAAATTTTAAAAAAGTCATACTGAAATGAAACAAAATTTTAGGGAGAAAACAAACCTAAAATATCCTTTGAAATATGCAGGTCCTTCTTGTCAAAGAGGGGAAAAATCACATGTAGGAGATTTGTGATTTGTAAAATGATTACAAATTGTTTGATTTTTCCCAAGGCCTCAGAAAGGGAGAGAGTGCCTAGATGTGGTTTCCAGAGTGAGAGGTCCAGAAATTAAATTTTGTTCATGTACACAAAGTTGCACAGATTTAGAGATTTTGTCTTCTGCTAGTCACATTTGTAAGAGTTAATATAAACTAAAATGTACATTTATTTATAATTGTTGATGTGTTTTTCCAGTGACCACAGATTTGGTCTTTTCTACCCAAGATTCTTCATCCCTTATATGAAGATATCTAGGAGACAGTAGTTCATTTGGCAAATATGAAGTCAAACCACAGAAAGAAGGATAGTTTTCAGGGATATTTCACTCACAATTATCTGATTTATCAAACAACATAGAATACCTCTTCAGTAAACAGAGTATTCTTCCCTGTTTGACCCAAGGTGATTCTTCTCTGAACAGTGCTAAATATATACTGCCAACTTTTGATCTTTGGATCATTACTCTGCAAGATGACACACTCTGGGTGAATATGCACCTTTTCCAGATTTGTTAACAAAGCAAAAAATTCATAGTCTCAATCCCTGAGAAGCTTATGGAGAACTTAGGCAAGTAATTCAACTTAACTATAAGAGCATACAGTAAATACAATCATCAGGACCAGCCAGAAACTTGGTGTACCCTGAGAAAGCTAAGTTAGATATTTGGTTAGATATTTGGTCCCCATTCAAACTGATACTCTCTAAGTATGTGTTGCACTTTTCTTTTGAAGCGTGACTACAGTTTTCTCACAGACCCCCATGCGACAAACACTGCAGCGAAGGACAAAGAGGTACACCTTCTGGCAGAGGTTACCCTCTCCTGTGCTGTCCTAAGCAGCTCAGCTCTGGCAAAGAGAAGTGAGTGCAAGTTGCTCAGTTGTGTCCAACTCTTTGCGACCCCGTGGACAAACCTTACTAGCAAAACAAAAACATGAAAACTAACCAAACTCATCCTCTTTGAAAGGCAGTTTAGAAACCCCTTATTGCTACTCAAGCATATTCTCGGGTCTTCTCACCTTCTAATTTCTAGAAGCTTGTCAGTAATCCTAAGCGCCAATCGTATTGATAAACACTATCTTTTCTTCCTGCAATATTCCTGTGTGTATGTGCTCAGTCATGTCTAACTCTTTGCAACCCCATGGACTGTAGCCCACCAGGTTCCTCTGTCCATGGGATTTCTCAGGCAACAGTACTAGGGTGGGTTGCCATTTCCTTCTCCAGGGGATCTTCCCAATCCAGGGATTGAACCCTTGTCCCTTGTGTCTCCTGCACTGCAGGTGGATTCTTTACTGCTGAGTCACCAAGGAAGCCCTGCAGTGTTCCTAACAACATGTAAATCTTTGTGAAGACTGGTGCCCTGGACCACTGCCTGGCTGGCTCTTCCCTAAATCACTTCAGGCCATGGTCATGTTTTAGACCTGGGGCTATGGGATGGAAGTAAAAAAGACAGACATGGAGATCAGACTGAGGGATCAAAGATGGCATTCTAGAGGAGAGACACAGGTGAGTCAAAGTTTAAAGGTTAGGTTACAGTTGATATAAGTGAATTGGTGAGCAGAGGGAACAATATGGTGGGGAGTGCTGGATGTATCACTCAACTTGCCTGGAACAAAATGTGTATGTATGGGTTTGTGAAGATGAAGCTAGAAAATCAGGCATGATCCATGAGTTTTCATGTGTCTGAAAGCTAAGAGATATCACTTATGGTAACATAAGTTTACTTGCCATAAACTTAGAGTAAGTAGAATACCATAATCAACACTTGATTTAGAAAGATTGTGCTGGCAATTGCATGGGGTAGATAGAAGGGAGTAGACTCGCAGACCTAAGACTCATAAGGAAGCCAGAGTATGGACTGCAATGGTGGAACCTAAAGGAGTGAGCAGTTTCCAGAAATACTTAGGACATTGCTTTATAGGATTTGGTGACAGATTACAGGAGAGGGGCATGGAGAAGGATTAGGGTTTATAACCTAGTGGGATGGTTTTACTATTCACAGAAATAGAAAGCTGTGCAGAATTTGTTATGAACAGAGTGGAGAGGAGCTGGTGATGGTTTTTCTCATCTCACTGGACATTTAATATTCACTCTAATATTCCATCAAATCTTAGTCTCCAAACCGTCGTTAAAGAAGAGAAAATAAACCAACTCACTCACTAATGGAAGCATGTGGAGATTTGAACTTTACCTCCAAACAAATGCATCTCTGTTTCTCCCCTAACTCCCAAACCTGTTTTGCTTGTCTTTCCTCCTGTCTTTTCTTAGCATGTTCTACTAAAAACATTCCTAAATCCTACCCATGTGTTTGTTAGCATTTTCAATTTGCAAATCAGAATTTATTTCATTTAAATTATCCCCTGAGCAACCACCATTCTTGTTCATTTTAGCCTTAGCATTTATATATTCTTCTATAGTTAACTCGCTAAAATACTGTGCTGCTTTATTATAAACATTTATCATTTAAAAATTTAATTATAAAGTTCTTTATAAGTTTAAATTCTTTGATATCTGACAGAGTATCAGTACATTACTATCTAAAAGATGAAGTCTTAGTTAATTGAATTCTTGGTATACTTCATTCACCTCATTCTGATAATGGACAATAAAACAGAAATCACAATAAATGATTGAATTCTAAGCTTGTTGGGCAGCCTTCTTCACATAATGTAACATTATGTCTTGCAGTCATTTCCTAAGGTGCATAATATTATAGGATATTTCAGTTTCTTTGTGGGTACCATTTTAAAAAATCTCTAATTTTATTTTATTTTGTTGTTGTTGGTTTTTTTTTGGTGGCACCATGTGGCATGCAGGATCCTAGCTCCCAGACCAGCGCCCAAACCCGTGCCC